ACAATGTATATTAATAAGAAAATGGCAAAATATAGACCCCGCCCACCCACCCCATCTCAATTGTGAAGATTTTTTATATTCATAGAAACTTAAAACGTGTTTAAAATGTTAAATTTTTGTAGGTAAATCTGGATTTTGAATTAAACTCCACCCCTCGATCTGACAAAGAATGAAAAATTGAGAATTGAGATCCGGGCGGGTGTGGCTGGAACCAAATCTTTGGCTTTGTTTTTCTCTAATTTCTCTAATATACACAGTTTTCTTTGAGCAACACAATTGCTTAAGACCAAGTTTCACATAGTAATTTCTTCTAGAAAAATAAGGATTTTGCAATTAAGCTCCGCCCCCCTGGCTTACGACGAATAAAAAAATTGATCACAATTGAGAGAGGGTGGGTGGGCAGGGTTTATATTTTGTCTTGTTTTTTAATATACGTAGTCATCTTTTCACAACAAAAAACTGAAGACATGTCTAAAATGGTACATTTTTGCAAGGAAATATGGATTTTGTAATTATGGGGCGGAGCCTAATTGCAAAATCAATATTTCCTTCTGCAAATTTTTCATTTTAAACATGTTTTAAGTTTCATGTTGTGAAAACAAGTCTACACATATTAAAACAAAAAGGCAAAATATAAGCCCGCCCACTCAATTGTGATGATTTTTTTCATTCGCCGTGAATCAAGAGGGTGGAGCTTAACTGCAAAGTTATTTCTTTACAAGAAATTAAAAACTTGTTTTTAAGTTTCGTGTTCAAAGAATACCATGTATATTAAGGGAATAAAGACAAAATATTTACCCCGCCCACCCACCCAATCTCAATTGTGATGATTTTTTTATTCGTAGAAACATAAAACGCGTGTAAAATGGTAAATTTTTGTTAGGAAATATGGATTTTGCAATTAGGCTCCGCCCCTAGGTTTGCCAACGAAAGACAACTTCATTAGTATTTACATCAGGGCAGGTATGGGTGGGACTTAATCTTTGGCTTTATTTTTTTCTTATACTCAAATATACACGATACTCTAAAACATGTTTTGAATTTCTCGTAGACAAATAAGGATTTTGCAGTTAAGCTCCGCCCTCTTGGCTCACGACGAATAAAAAAAATCATCACAATTGAGATAGGGTGGGTGGGCGGGGCTACATTTTGTCTTTTTCTTCTTAATATGTGTAGACTTATTTTATTCTTAGAAACTTAAAACATGTTTAAAATGGTAAATTTTTGTAGGTAAATCTGAATTTTGGAATTAAGTCCCACTCCTCGATCTGACAACGAATGAAAAATTCATCACAATTGAGAATTGAGATCGGGGCGGGTATGTGTGGAACCACATCTTTGACCTTGTTTTTCTCTTAATATACATGGTTTTCTTTGAGCAACCGATTACTTAATATCACGTTTCACGTGGAAATTTCTCGTAGAAAACTAAGGATTTTTCAGTTAATTACCGTCCCTCGGCTTACGACGAATAAAAAACAATCATCACAATTGAGACAGGGCGGGTGGGCGGGGCTTACATAGTGCCTTTTTTCTTAATATCTGTAATCTTCTTTTCACAAAAAGAAACGTAAAACATGTTTAGAGTGGTAAATTGTTGTAGGGGAGTATCGATTTTACAATTAGGCTCCGCCCCTTGGGCTGACAACGAATGAAAAATTCATCGGGTTTGAGATCGAGACGGATGAGTGGGGATTCTCTTTTGGTTTTCTTTTTTAATTAATACATTTAGTTTTCTTTGTATAACAGGATTACTTGAGAACACGTTTCACATGATAATTTCTCGTATGAAAACAAAGATTTTGCAATTAAGCTCCGCCCTCCTGGCTTAACGACGAATAAAAAAATCCTCACAATTGAGATAGGGTGGGTGGGCGGGGTTTATATTTCGCCTGTTTTCTTAATATACGTAGTCATCTTTTCACAAGAAGAAACTTAAAACATGGTTAAGATCGTACATTTTTGCAAAGAAATATGGATTTTGCAATTATGGCGCAATTATTGCAAAATCGATATTTCGTTATATAAATTTAGCATTTTGAACATGTTTTAAGTTTGATCTTGTGAAAAGAAATCTACACATACTAAAACAAAAAGGTAAAATATAAGCCCACCCACCCACCCTGTCTCAATTGTGATGATTTTTTTTATTCGTCATGAAACAAGGAGGCGGTGCTTAACAGCAAAATTTTCTTTACAAAAAATTAAATACATGTTTTTGAATATCGTGTTGTTTAAGGAACACTACGTATATTAAGAAAAAAATGGCAAAATATACACCCCGGCCACCCACCCCATCTCAATTGTGATAATTTTTTTATTCTTAGAAACTTAAAACATGTTTAAAATGGTAAATTTTTGTAGGTAAATCTGGGTTTTGGAATTAAACCCCGCCCATCGATCTGACAACGAATAAAAAATTCACCACAATTGAGAACCAAATTTTTGGTTTTGTTTTTCTCTTAATATTTTCTTTGAACGACACGATTACTTAATATCAAGTTTCACATGGTAATTTCTCTTAGAAAAATAAGGATTTTGCAATTAAACTCCGCCCCCCTGCCTTACGACAAATAAAAAAAAATCATTACAATTGAGACAGGGTGGATGGGCGGGGCTTATATTTTGTATTGGTTTTTAATATACGTAGTCTCTTCACAACAAAAGCTTAGAATATGGTTAAAATGGTACATTTTTGCAAAGAAAAATGGATTTTGCCATTATGGGGCGGAACCTACTTCCAAAATATTCTTTATACAAATTTTCCATTTTAAACATGTTTTAAGTTTCATCTTGTGAAAAGAAGTGTACACATATTAAAACAAAATGGAAAAACGGAAGCCCACCCACCCGCCCTATCTCAATTGTGATGATTTTTTTTATTCGCCGTGAACCAAGGGGGCGAAGCTTAACTGCAAAATACTTTTTTCTTTACAAGAAATTAAAAACATATTTTGGAATATCGTGTTGTTCAAGGAATACTATATATTTTAAGAAGAAAATTTTAAAATATAGACCCCGCCCACCCGCCCCATCTCTATTGTGATGATTTTTTTATTCTTAGAAACTTAAATATGTTGAAAATGGTAAATTTTTGTAGGTAAATCTGGATTTTGGAATTAAGCTCCACCCCTCGATCTAACAAAGAATTAAAAGTTGAGAATTGAAATCGGCGCGGGTGTGGCTGGAACCAAATCTTTGGCTTTAGCTAGGAAGGAAAAATTCATCACAATACGTTTGACTATAAAGAAAAAAGAATCAAAAACAGGTAGAAAGCGTATTAATTTGCAATTTCTCTTTTTCTCACGCATTGTTTATTTATCTATGTTTATGATGCCATAACAATTTTTTTATTGACGAAATTACCCCACTTTCTCGAAAATGTGGGAACACACGCTTTATTTAAAAATGTAAAACCTGTTCGGGGGCCCCAAATGGTTTTTCTAGAATAGGAAACCTTCTCGGGGGTCCCAAATTTTTTTTTTTTTAATGTGAAATCTTCTCGAGGGTACCAACTGTCTTGTTTAAAAATTTAAAATCTTCTTAGGGGCCCCAAATATCTTTTTTTTAATGTGAAACCTTTTTAGGGTTCCCAATTGTATTTTTTTTTAATGTGAAACCTTGTCGGGGGCCCTACCTATCTATCTTTTTCAAAGATCTAAAACCTTTTCCCTTCACGGGGGCGCCAAATGTTTTTTTTTTTTTTAGAATATAAAACCTTCTCGGGGGTCCCAAAATTTTTTTTTTAATCTGAAATCTTCTCGGGGGTTCCAACTGTCTTGTTTAAAAATATAAAATCTTCTTAGGGGCCGCAAATATCTTTTTTTTTTTAATGTGAAACCTTCTCAGGGGTCCCAATTGTATTTTTTTAAAATGTGAAACCTTGTCTCCGGGGGCCCGCCTGTCTTTTTCAAAGATCTAAAACCTTCTCGGGGGCGCCAAATGTTGCTTTTTTTTAGAATTTGAAACCTTCTCGGGGGTTCCAACCGGTTTTTTTTTTAATGTAAAACCTTCTCGGGGGTTCCAACTGTCTTTTTTAAAAATGTAAAACCTCGTGGGTCCCAAGTGACTTGTTTAAAAATATAAAATCTTCTCGGGGCCGCCAAATGTTTTTTTTTTTCAAATGTAAAACCTTCTCGGGGGCGCCAAATGTTTTTTTTTTTTATGTGAAACCTTCTCGGGGACGCCAAACGTTTTTTTTTTTTTAATGTAAAACCTTCTCGGGGATCCCAACTGTCTTTTTTATAAATGTAAAACCTTCTCTGGGGCCGCAACTGAATTTTTTTAAAATGTAAAGTCTTCTTGGGGACGCTAAATGTCTTTTTTAAAAATGTAAAACCTCCTCGAGGGTTCCAACTGCCTTTTTTAAACATGTGAACCCTTCCCGGGGGTCCCAAGTGTCTTTTTTTAATAATAATATATCTTCTCGGGGCTCCCAGCTGTCTAACCTTTTTTTCTATTACACACATTGTTTTTATCCCATAGAGGTTATCGCAAAAAAGTAAAATTCCACAAAATCTTATCATTTTTCAGAGAAAAAAAGTTGGACTGTACTTCAGAAGGATTTTTTTCAATTTTGTGCAACCCATTTGCTACGAATGATTTTTCTTTATTTAGCAACTTTTATATTCTCATAAACGACTATTCAATGGTTCCTAAACTTGTTTTTTACGACGAAATAAAAAAATAACTGTAACATTTAGCGATAAGAAAGTCACCTGACAAAACGATTATCTTTATCAAGGTATTACCCCAAACATACATATAAATAATATGTTTTCTGAGAGCCTAGAAAAATTCCCGCGACTGATTCAACAATCAATAACTACAACTATTATCTCAAGTAGTGCACAATAACGCTTTCAACTTTGATTAAAAAACAACAACAGTCTGATAAGGAGCAAACTTTGCCCAGAACTAGGCACTATAATCTCTAGGTCAGGGCACATGGAATCTCCTCTTGACAAAATCCTATGGAATAATTTTAACTTGACTCTCACCTAAAGCTGCATTGATGCCCCCCTGTGCCGCCACAGTATGAGACCTGGTTGGAAACAGTTTCGTTATAACAGCAGTTTTAAACCCGTCTGCTACCAAACCAAAAGCTGCCCTCAGTCCGGCGCCTCCAGCGCCCACCACGACTGCATCATACGTATGATCGATAATGGGGTACACAGCCGAAACATTCGTATTAACCGTGGCATTTTTCCTATCCACACCGATGTGAACAGCCTTTGACAACACCTGCGGCGTCAAATTAACATTCGCCTGAAAGCGAAAACGTGGAATTATTTATCACAATCACCATACAATAAATTATACAAAAAAACAGTCGGTGTATAATTACCAACACACTAATTTACACACTCATAATATTTTAAGTGCTCTATTTAAACATGATACGTGTTTTTTTTAAACAAATAATCAAAAAATTAGTTATGTAACATGTGACTTCTAGAAAAAATTCTTACCTTCGTTACATGACAGAACAAATTTTTTTGTACTATCGTCTTGAATTTAAGGAGACTGCTCATCGCTTTTCGCACTTAAAACAACTATTGGCATAAAGTATAAACAAAAATTGTCACCGGAGCGCTAGGGCGCCTTTCACCTTTCGTTTTGACAGAGATGTCAAGATCTGTCAAATCGCCGCACCAATGAGAATGCGGGTGAACGACTTTGCACCAATCACGATTTTCATGGTCACACACGGTTTGAATTTGCGCGCGCATTGACACAAATTTAGCAAAAATATGTAGTTTATTTTGAAAATTTACAAAAAATACAGATCAACGGTGTTTCCAGGACGGTTTGCGCTTTTCGATGAAGGCTCTGACCCCTTCTTTGCCGTCTTCGAGGCTGAGGTTGTCCACCATGACTTGAGCCCCCATCTTGTAGGCTTCTTTGAGACTGAGGTCCACCTGTTGGTAGTAAAATCGCTTGCCTAATTCCACCACGGTGCGACTTTTTTTCACGATTTGATCACACACTGCTTTAACATCTTCATCCAAATTGTTCTCGGAAATCTGGGTGATCAAACCTTTTTCTTCGGCTTCTTTGGCGCCAATCGTGATTCCTGAATAGAGCAACTTCAAGGCGGTTGCTTTAGGGACGACGCGCGCCAGCGCTATTCCGGGGGTTGAGCAGAAAACACCAAAATGAATTCTGCAATAATTTTTTCATTAATAGACACTAACATACAAGTGAAATCTTACCCAGGTGTTGAGAATGAACTTTTTTTAGAACAGAAGGCCAAGTCACACTGGGCGACAAGTTGGCATCCGGCTGCCACTGCTATTCCATCAACTTTCGCTATTATGGGCACTGGAGAATCGATTATTTTGTACATTAATTGCGTGGCGAGTTGGAAGACTTTGGCGTGTTCTTCTGGACTGCGCTCTGGGGACATTTCTTTCAAGTCGTGACCAGTGCTGAATATGCTGTTCGCGGACCCCAAAACTATGACTCTTGTTGTATTCGCAGATTCAAACTCCGTGATTTTTTGAATAAGTTCTTGCATCATTTTAATCGATAGTGCGTTACTACAAAGATGATTATGTTGCAAGTTTTCGTACACAATTATGCAGAATTACCGTGTGTCGTGATCGTCCATGACCAGATTTGCGATTCCATGCTGAACCGTGGCGTGAACAAAATTAGAGGAATTCCTGGCACCCAAGTGGAGTGAGTGCTACAATACAAATTAAAGACTTCGTAAAATGGTCTTTATACTCGCCTTTAGGTGATAAAACGGGCGAGCAAACATTTTGCAGACTTTCTTGTTCGATTAGAAATCACGGAGTGCGCGTTTTATCAAGTTATCATAAAAATAAGCCCCACCAGTTTACACCTAACCTCAAAAAAATTTACCTTATCGTAAAGTTTTTTCGTCAAAAAATGCCTCTGGTCGTGATAACAGGGGTACCCAGTAGTGGAAAAACCACCAGGGCCAACGAATTAAAACAGTTTTTTGAGAAAAATAAAAAACAAGTATTTGTAGTAAGCGAAAATGAGCAAATTACGAAGGCGAACTTTGAAAAAAATCAATTTTATTCAGGTAATTAACTAAAAACAACGTTGTATTGTTTCACCCACAATTTTAATCGTAGATTCGTCGAAAGAGAAGCACATTCGGGGCCTCCTCAAGTCCGAAGTTTTAAAATTGATGACTCCGAACAATGTGGTGATTTTGGACGCCTTAAACTACATCAAAGGTTTCCGCTATGAGTTGTACTGTGGCTCCAAAGCGAACAAAAACACCCAATGTACCCTCCACGTGGAAATAAATCGTGACGAAGCGTGGACCTTCAACGAAAATCGGACTCCAGAAAGCGAAAAATACAGCAGGGACACTTTTGACGCTCTCGTGATGCGGTATGAAGAACCGGAAAGGAAAAACCGCTGGGATTCACCGCTTTTTGTGGTTTTTCCCCAGCAAGATTTAAATACGGAAGGGATTAGATCTGCGTTGTTTGACGAGGCGCCGCCACCACCCAACATGTCCACACAAAACGTAAAAACTTGTTACACTGTAATATTTTTATTTACAAATTGGTTGCAGCCCTCTTTAAATTCAACCAACTTTTTGTACGATTTGGATCAAGTCACGAAGAAGATAGTGGACGGGCTTATCCGTAACAAGAACATGGGGCAAAAAGGGGTGATCAACGTCGATGGGTTTCCGGGTTTGTCGGTGGACATTTCAAACGCGACGGTCCAGCAGCTGATGATTTTGAGAAGGCAGTATTTAACGTATTGTAAAATGCACCCTCCAGAAACCCGACAAATTCCGCAGTTGTTTGTACAGTATTTGAGTACGAGTTTGCAGTAAATAAAGTTGTGCTCCATTTTAAATTTAGGGATTTTGTGTTGCTGGGTTGGTACCGACCACTTTTGAAATCCACAGTGAAATCTCTCCATATCCAAATAATTTCTAAAAAGTTGTGGTTTCATTTTTATAATTAGATCTAGTACTCAAATCATCTCATAAATTTGTTTGAAATCAAGAAAACGAAGCAAAGTAAAGTGGGATTTATAAACACCGTTGATAGTAACTTTGATGTTCAACTTTTACCGTATTTAAAGGGGTTGTAGAAGAAAAATAGAGGATACTTGTCGAAATACGTCTACGCATACTAAGAAATCAAGGCAAAATGTAGCCCCGCCCACCCACCCTATCTCAATTGTGATGAATTTTTCATTCGTTGTCAGATCGAGGGGCGGGGCTTAATTGCAAGATCCCTATTTGTCTACCAGAATTTACGATTTTAAACATGTTTTAAGTTTCTTGTTCTGAAAAGACGACTACTTATATTAGAAAAAAGACAAAATATAAGGCCCGCCCACCCGCCCTATCTTAATTGAAAAAATTGCATCTGAAGTACAGTCCAACCAATACTGCTTCTCTGAAAACTGATAAAATTTAATTTTGCCGAATTTTACTTTTTCGTGATAACCTCTGTGGAGTAAAAAAAAATGTAATAGAAAAAAAGGTTTCACCTTCTTAAAAAAAGACAGCTGGGAGCCCCCAGAAGATTTAATGATATTAAAAAAGACACTTGGGGCCCCCGAGAAGATTTCGCCTTTTTTTAAAAAAGGAGACTTGGGACCCCCGACATGGTTTCACATTCTTAAAAAAAAAAGATATTTGGGGCCCCCGAGAAGGTTTTATATTTTTAAAAAAGACAGTTGGGACCCCCGAGAAGGTTTCAGATTAAAAAAAAAGATATTTGGGGACCCTAAAAAGGTTTTATAATTTTTAAGAAAGATATTTGGGGCTCCTAAGAATGTTTTATATTTTTAAAAAAGACAGTTGGAACCCCCGAGAAGATTTCACATTAAAAAAAAAAAAGATTTTTGGGACCCCCGAGAAGGTTTCACATTAAAAAAAAATATTTTTGGGACCCCCGAGAAGGTTTCACATTAAAAAAAAAAACATTTGGTGCCTCGGAGAAGGTTTTACATTTTAAAAAAGGACAGTTGGGACCTCCGAGAAGGTTTTACATTTTTAAAAAGTCAGTTGGGCCCCCGAGAAGGTTTCACATTAAAAAAAAATATTTGGCGTCCCCGAGAAGGTTTTACATTTTTAAAAACGACAGTTGAGACCCCCGAGAAGGTTTCACATTCTTAACAAAGACAATCGGGACCCCGAGAAGGTTTTTACATTGTTAAAAAAATACATTCGGGACCCCCGAGAAGGTTTTACATTTTTAAAATAGACAGTTGGGTCCCCGAGAAGGTTTCGTATTCTTCAAAAAAGGATATATGAGACCCCGAGGAGGATTCACATTAAAAAAAAAAGAAAATTGGCGCCCCTGAGGAGGTTTTACATTTTTAAAAAAGACAGTTGGGACCCCTGAGAAGGTTTCACATTAAAAAAAAAAGATATTTGGAGCCCCTAAAAAGGTTTTATATTTTTAAGAAAGATATTTGGGGCTCCTAAGAATGTTTTATATTTTTAAAAAAGACAGTTGGAACCCCCGAGAAGGTTTCATATTAAAAAAAAAAACTATTTTTGGGACCCCCGAGAAGGTTTCACATTAAAAAAAAAGATGTTTGGGCCTCCGAGAAGGTTTTACATTAAAAAAAAAAACAGTTGGGATCCCCGACAAGGTTTCACATTAAAAAAAAAAGATATTTGGGGCCCCCGAGAAGGTTTCACATTAAAAAAAAATATTTTTGGGGTCCGCGAGAAGGTTTTACATTAAAAAAAAACATTTGGCGCCCCCGAGAAGGTTTTACATTTTTAAAAAAGACAGTTGGCACCCCCGAGAAGGTTTTACATTTTTAAAAAAGACAGTTAGGACCCCCGAGAAGGGTTTACATTTTTAAAAAAGACAGTTGGAGCCTCCGAGAAGGTTTCACATTAAAAAAAAAAAACAATTTTTGAGACCCCCGAGAAGGTTTCACATTAAAAAAAAATATTTTTGGGGCCCGTGAGAAGGTTTCACATAAAAAAAAACATTTGGCGCCCCCGAGAAGGTTTTACATTTTTAAAAAAGACAGTTGGAACCCCCGAGAAGGTTTTACATTTTTAAAAAAGACAGTTGGGACTCCCGAGAAGGTTTCACATTTTTAACAAAGACAATTGGGACCACCGAGAAGGTTCTACATTCTTAAAAAAAATACATTTGGGGCCCCCGAGAAGGTTCTACATTTAAAAAAAATACATTTGGGGCCCCTGGGAAGGTTTTACATTTTTAAAATAGACAGTTGGGTCCCCGAGAAGGTTTCGTATTCTTCAAAAAAGGATATTTGAGACCCCGAGAAGGATTCACATTAAAAAAAAAGAAAGAAAATTGGCGCCCCTGGGGAGGTTTTACATTTTTAAAAAAGACAATTGGAACTCTCGAGGAGGTTTCACATTCTTAAAAAAATACATTTGGGGCCTCCGAAAATGTTTTACATTTTGAAAAAAGACAGTTGGAACCCCCGAGAAGGTTTTACATTTTGAAAAAAGACAGTTGGAACCCTCGAGAAGGTTTTACATTTTTAAAAAAGACAGTTGGGACCCCCGAGAAGGTTTCACATTTTTAACAAAGACAATTGGGACCACCGAGAAGGTTCTACATTCTTAAAAAAAAAATACATTTGGGGCCCCCGAGAAGGTTTTACATTAAAAAAAAAAATACATTTGGGGCCCCTGGGAAGGTTTTACATTTTTAAAATAGACAGTTGGGTCCCCGAGAAGGTTTCGTATTCTTCAAAAAAGGATATTTGAGACCCCGAGAAGGATTGACATAAAAAAAAAAAAAGAAAATTGGCGCTCCTGGGGAGGTTTTACATTTTTAAAAAAGACAACTGGAACTCTCGAGGAGGTTTCACATTCTTAAAAAAATACATTTGGGGCCTCCGAGAATGTTTTACATTTTTAAAAAAAGACACTTTTTGCTCCCGAGAAGGCTTCACCTTTTTTTAAAAAAGGAGAGTTGGGACCCTCAACAAAGTTTCATCTTCTTATAAAAAAGACGTTTGGGGGTCCCGAGAAGGTTTCACATTTTTAACAATGACAATTGGGACCCTCCAGAAGGTTTTACATTTTTAAAAACAACATTTGGGACCCCCGAGACCGTCTCACATAAAAAAAAGATATTTGGGCCCTTGAGAAGGTTTTACATTAAAAAAACCAGTTGTGATACCCGAGAAGGTTTCATATTTCAAGAAAAAACATTTGGGGCCCCCGACAAGGTTTCACATTTTAAAAAAATACAGTTGGGACCCCCGAGAAGGTTTTACATTAAAAAAAAAGATATTTGGGTCCTCGAGAAGGTTTCGTGTTCTTAAAAAAAGGATATTTGAGACCCTGAGAAGGATTCACATTAAAAAAAAAAAAAAAGAAAATTGGCGCCTCTGAGGAGGTTTTACATTTTTAAAAAAGACCACTGGAACTCCCGAGAAGGTTTCAAATTCTTAAAAAAAATACATTTTTAAAAAAGACAGTTGGGCCCCTGAGAAGGTTTCATACTAAAAAAAAAAGATATTTGGCCCCCCTAACAAGGTTTTAGCAGTATATTTTTAAAAAAGACAGTTGGAACGCCCGAGAAGGTTTTACATTTTTAAAAAAGGCAGTTGAGACCCCCGAGAAGGTCTCACATAAAAAAAAGATATTTGGGCCCCCGAGAAGGTTTTACATTAAAAAAAAGATATTTAAGGCCCTTAAGAAGATTTTATATTTTTAAACAATACAGTTGGAACCCCCGAGAAGATTTCACAATAAAAAAAAAACAATTTTTGCAAAATCCATATTTGTTTACAAAAATTTACTATTTTAAACATATCTTAAGTTTTTTGTTGTGAAAAGATGTCTACGTATATTAAAAAACAAGACAAAATATTAGCCCCGCCCACCCACCCTGTCCCAATTGTAATTAATTTTTTTTATTCGTCGTAAGCCAGGGGGGCGGAGTTTAACTGCAAAATACTTATTTTTCTAAGAGAAATTACCATGTGAAACTTAGTAATCGTGTTGTTCAAAGAAAATGATGTATACTAAGAGAAAAATAAAACTAAAAATTTGGTTCTCAATTGTGGTGAATTTTTTATTCGCTATCAGATCGCGGGGCGGGGTTTAATTCCAAAATCCATATTTACCTACAAAAATGTACCACTTTAAACATGTCTTAAGGTTTTTGTTGTGAAAAGACTACGTATATTAAAAACCAATACAAAATATAAGCCCCACCCACCCACTCTGTCTCAATTGTAATGAATTTTTGTTATTCGTCGTAAGCCAGGGGGGCGGAGTTTAATTGCAAAATCCTTATTTTTCTAAGAGAAATTACTTACCATGTGAAACTTAGTATTAAGCAATCGTGTTGTTCAAAGAAAATGATGTATATTAAGACAAAAACAAAACTAAAAATTTGGTTCTCAATTGTGGTGAATTTTTTATTCGTTGTCAAATCGAGGGCGGAGTTTTATTCCAAAATCCATGTTTTCCCAATTTTTTTTTCTTAATATACGTAGTATTCCTTGAACACAACATTCAAAAACATGTTTTTAATAAAAAAAATGCAGTTAAGCACCGCCTCCTTAGTTCATGACGAATAAAACAAATCATCACAGTTGAGACAGGGCGGGTGGGCGGGCTTACATTTTACCTTTTTGTTTTGGTATGTGTAGATTTCTTTTCATAAAATCAAACTTAAAACATGTTCAAAATACTAAGTTTGTATAAAGAAATATCGATTTTGCAATTAGGCTCCGCCCCATAATTGCAAAATCCATATTTCTTTGCAAAAATGTACGATCTTAACCATGTTTTAAGTTTCTTGTTATGAAAAGATGGCTACGTATATTAAGAAAACAGGCGAAATATAAACCCCGCCCACCCACCCTGTCTCAATTGTGACGAATTTTTTATTCGTCGTTAAGCCAGGAGGGCGGAGCTTAATTGCAAAATCTTTGTTTTCATACGAGAAATTATCTTGTGAAACGTGTTCTCAAGTAATCCTGTTATACAAAGAAAACTAAATGTATTAATTAAAAAAGAAAACCAAAAAAGAATTCCCACTCATCCGTCTCGATCTCAAACCTGATGAATTTTTTATTCGTTGTCAGCCCGAGGGGCGGAGCCTAATGATAAAATCGATACACCCCTACAAAAATTTACCACTTTAAACAAGTTTTACGTTTCTTTTTGTGAAAAGAAGATTACAGATATTAAGAAAAAAGGCACTATGTAAGCCCCGCCCACCCGCCCTGTCTCAATTCTGATGATGGGACGTGGCGTAATTGTAAAATACTTATTTTTGTACGAGAGAACAGTGTGGAAAATGATGGCAGATGAGGCTCAATCAGAAAAATATCCCCCCGACTTCAGGGGATTTTCCTTCGAATTGGCAGCACTGTACACTACCCCAGTTTGATTGGTTGAAAACCCATAAATGGACCTTACCGTTTTGGCTCGAATTTTTTGAAACAGATAGGGAGTTTCCGTTTTCAGCGTTATAAGTTGGTACAAAACCTAACCTCACTTCACCATGTTTTTAACCTATTCGACTCAAAAACCAAGTTTTGAGTTCGGACGAAAATGAATTTTTTGCCGAGATTCACAAAGTCGTTGCGCTTGTATCGCCTGAAGTCGTCTTTAACCGCAACAGAGACCAGTGCAGCCGCACAAAACCAAAAATTTTTAGTCCCTCAAGAACCGGTTAAATCCAAAATAGACCCGAAAAAGTTGCCCCCTAGAACGAAAATTGACGCAGACACGATAGCCCTCCTCGAACGACTATCTCTGGTGGACTGTGCTAACAAACAAGGCATTGAAACCCTAGAAGAAGCTATAGCTTTCGCTGATCAAATCCAGCAAGTGGACACGACGAATGTAGAACCGCTAATTACAGTCCTAGAAGACAGGTAATTCGGGTAATAATGTAACAACACTTGTGTTGTATGTACAATTTAAGACCTCTACGTACGCGCCAAGACTCTGTAACCGAAGGAAACTGCCGCGCTGAAGTCCTAAGCAACGCGTCTCTCACAGAAGAAGACTATTTCGTAGCCCCGCCTGGCAACATCCCGCTGGAAGCCCGAGAAAATTTGTTGTATGATGAACTTCAACAAGATAATAAGCCTGTGTGAAAAACGCGGTTTTCTGCACAAAACCATCCATCCGACTGTGCATGTAGAGACTTTTAGACTAGGACCAGTTGGGGCGCTCCTACAGGAGAATTTACGCACGGAGTGGTTTAACAGTATCGTCATTAACAAAGACATTCAGGTTTTTCCTAGTCAGAACGGACTTTCGGACACTTACAACTTTGCCAAAGAAGCGTCTTTGAACATATTGCCGTTTGGGGTCACGCAAGTCGCGCAGAAGAAGCGACTGTGGGAAGAACAATTTAAGATGCAGGAGCACGACGGGGTGGATTTTTTGAGCTACTTTGAGCACGACGAGATTTTTCGGTGTTGGGTTTTCCTGAATCCGTCAAATGCGGTGCAGTTTTTTCATCAGTGGCAAAGGGAGAGGCGAATGTGGTGGAGAAAAGTATTTGAGTTTGATTTCGTGGGGGTTAATATTTTTTCGTTGTTTTGTTGTAGTTTTCTACTTCTCCAGCTAGGTATGTTTTGACGGACATTAAAAATGGCGACGGTAATTCTCAGAGGGTGGATATTTTGGCGAAGTATCCATGGGGTGAGCAGCTGGTGGAAAGTTTGGGGTTGGTTAATGAAGTTGATGGGGTTACCAGTAGTCAGTTACAGGTAGGTGTAAATGTCAATATGGATTCTAGAGTCTAAGTTTGAAGCGCCCTCTACACTAGTTGCCACACAAGTTATAATTTATTTTAGATTAAAGACGGAAAAAAGTTAGTTCAGGCACAATGCGTTTTCAGCAAAATATACTCCTCTGTGATGCTCCTCAACACCTTGTGTGACGCCTATGACGAGCCTATTTTTCAAGACAATCCGCGACCTCTCTTACGATTACATCGCAAACTAGCGCCTTACAAAATCAGCTTTTCCGTTCCTTCTGGATGTAAGTTACATTTACAATTGTTTGATTAATTTTGTGTTGTCAAACAAATGTGGCTGTGTGATGCGGACTTATTTCATTGTTGCCAACATTGCAGCAAAGTCCCTAGTGGATGAGTTAAAAGATCTGGCACTGTATATATGTCGGCAGTTGCGGAAAAACCACGTCTCTTGTTTGTTGCTGCCCTCGAGTTATAAAAGCACGCTGGATTCGCAGTGGAGGCAATACGACCAAACGGGAATACCCTACAATGTGCTGCTTAATGAAAACACCCTTAAGACTGGGATCGCCCAACTGAGGAGTCGTGACACGACCTTGAAAGAGCAAGTTCACGTCACAGATCTGCCGGACTATGTAGAGAAATTGTTTAAAAATTATTGAATTTAATATAATTGTGACTTGTTGGTGTTTTTTTAAACGTTATCCCATATTGCCATCCAAATTTTATAAAACAACTATACATAATTTAAATAGTAGTTTAGATGCGACATACACGCTGATTTTGCAAAACCACCCTTATTGACATTGGAGTCCTCAAGCGCCAAATTTAAATAGTCCATGCCAATAAAAAAAACTTGTTTCACTACAACTCGTCGCCTGAGAACTTGTTTGATCTACAGACCAGAGCGCGCTCAGGCCAATGTCGACTCTAAGCGTTCAGAAGCGATTTGGTTGGTTTGGACTATAATTTCTGCGGTAAATAGTTGTTCGGTCGGTTTTTATAACGTCGAAGTGAATATTTTTGGTACAATTTAGATGATTTTCTATATTTTGTTTAATTAAGAATTAATTCTTTATTTGTGTTTTATACTAGCAAAACGTCTTAAACTAAGAATATTGTTGAAATCGTAATAACCCAATGGATTTCTTTCGAGAAAATGTTTTGGAAACACTGTTCTATTTTCTATGAGTTTTTAAATGTTTTTAGTGAAAATTTTTGTGGTTGTTTTCGATACACTGTTATGATATTAACAGTGAGAAAAAAAATGAAAAATTAAAATAATCGAAAAATCGAAACCTTAAAAAATCATAAAACTGAAACATTGAAAAATCGAAATATCGAAGAACAGAAAATCGAAAAATCAAAAGATCAAGAAATCGTGGAGTCGAAAAGTCGAACAATTGAGAAACCGAAATAGGCCAAAATCGAAAAGTTAAAAATTGAACAATTTATAAATTGAGAAATTGACAATCAAAATATCTAAAAATCCAAATCTCGATAAATCGAGAAATCAAAAACTTAAAAATTCGAAAAATTGAAAATTTGAGAGATTGAAACATCAAAAAAACGATAAATCGAAAAGTGATGAAGTCGAAAAATTGAGAATTCGACAAACAAAACGTTAAAAGTTGAAAAATTGGAAAAGCGGAAAAATCAAAAAACGAAAAAATGGAAAACTGGAAAAACTGAGAAACCGAAATAGGCCAAAATAAAAAATTGAAAAACTGATAAATCGAACACCTGAACAATCAAATCTCGGTAAATCGGGAATGAAAAATTAACAAATCGAAAAATTGAAAAACAGAACATCTAAAACCAGGAAGTCGAAAAATCGAAAGATTAAGAAATATTGAAAAATTAAAATATCAAAAGATTGAAAAATCTAAAATTTAAAAATCCAAAAATTGAAAAATCGAAAAAGTAAAAAGGTAGATACATCGAAAAATCCAGAAGTCAAAAATAGAAAAGCCGAAGAATTGAAATATTGAAAAATCCTAAAACTGAAATATCTAAACACTGAAAAATCGAAATCAAAAAAGTGAAGTCGAAAAATAGAAACCTTAAAAAATCGAAAAATCGAAAAATCAAAAACCTGAAAAATCAAAAAATTAAAGAACTAAAGAACAGGAAAATCGAAACACTCGAAGGTCAAGAAATGGGAAAATCAAAACATCGATTGATTGAAAAATCGAGAATTTGACAAAATGACAATTGAAAAATAGAAAATCTAAAACTAGGAAGTCGAAAAATCAAAACATTAAGAAATCGAAACATTTGAAAAATTCGAAAACTTGAAAAATTCAGATATCGAAGAACTGAACTGAAAAATCGACAAATCGAAAAATCTAAAATTTTTAAAATTAAAAAATCGAAAATTGAAAAATCGAAAAAGTAAAATAATCGACACATCGAAAAATCCAGGAGTCAAAAAGCGAAAAGTCGAAGAATCGAAATATTGAAAAATCCCAAAACTGAGATCGAAAAACTGAAAAATGAAAGAAAACCTGAAAAATTCGAAAACTGAAATATCCAAAAACTGATAACCTAAAAAGCAATCGAAAAATCCAAAAAGTGAAGTCGAAAAATCGAAATCTTAAAAAAACTAAAAAATGAAAAATCGAAAAATTAAAGAATTGAAGAACAGGAATATCGAAACCCTCGAAAGTCAAGAAATGGGAAAATCAAAACATCGATTAATTGAAAAATCGAAAAATTGACAATCTAAATGTCAAATATGAAAAATTGAAAAAACGACAATTGAACAACAGAAAATCTAAACCGGGAAGTCGGAAAATCGATGGATTAAGAAATCAAAACATTTGAAAAATTCGAAAACATGAAAAACGGAAATATCGAAGAACTGAAATGAACTATCGAGAAATCGAAAAACTGAAAAATCTAAAATTTAAAAATCGAGAAAGTAAAAAGTAGACACATCGAAAAATCCAGAAGTCAAAAATGGAAAAGAAACAGAAAGAACAGAAATATTGAAAAATCCCAAAACTGAAATATCCAAAAACTGAGAATCTAAAGAATGGAAAAATTGAGAAATCGAAAAACCAAAAAAGTGAAGGCGAAATATCGAAACCTTAAAAAAATCGAAAAATTGAAAAATCAAAAACCTGCGAAATCGTAAGATCGAAAAATTGAATAATAAGTAAACTGAAAAATCCCAAAACTGAAATGTCCAAAAACTGAGAAATTAAAAAATTGAAAAATTGAGAAATCGAAAAATCTAAAATTTTAAGGGCCGGTTTATAGAAGCGCGAGTTAAATATTTAATCCTCGATTAATTTAACACTGGATTAAAATGTGGAATGGAAGCTCGTGATTGTTTAAAACCTGCACGTCGCCTAGCAACGAACCTCAATTAAAAGTTAATCGCGAATTAACTTTAACTTCGGTTTCTATAAACCAGGTCTAAATATTGAAAAATTAAAATATCAAAAAACTGAAAAATCTAAAATTTAAAAATCGAAAAATTAAAAAAACGACAATTGAAAAACAGAAAATCTAAAACCGGTAAGTCGAAAAATCGATCGAAAGATTAAGAAATCTAAACATTTGAAAAATTGAAATATGGAAGAGCTGAAATGAACAATCGAAAAATCTTAAATTTTAAATATTGAAAAATTAAAATACCAAAAAATTGAGAAATCTAAAATTTAAAAATCGAAAAAGTAAAAAGTAGACACATCGAAAAATCCAGAAGTAAAAAATGGAAAAGAAACAGAAAGAACAGAAATACTGAAAAATCCCAAAAATATCGAAAAACTGAAAAATGAAAGAAAAATTGAAAAATCCTAAAACTGAAATATCCAAAAACTGATAATCTAAGGAATGGAAAAATTGAGAAATCGAAAAATTGAAAAATCAAAAACCTGCAAAATCGTAAGATCGAAAAATTGAATAATAAGTAAACTGAAAAATCCCAATACTGAAATGTCCAAAAACTAAGAAATTAAAAAATATAAAGAAATCTAAAATTTAAAAATCGAGAAAGTAAAAAGTAGACACATCGAAAAATCCAGAAGTCAAAAATGGAAAATAAACAGAAAGAACAGAAATATTGAAAAATCCCAAAACTGAAATATCGAAAAACTGAAAAATGAAAAAAAATTGAAAAATCCCAAAACTGAAATATCCAAAAATTGAGAATCTAAAGATGGAAAAATTGAGAAATCGAAAAATCAAAAAAGTGAAGTCGAAATATCGAAACCTTAAAAAAATCGAAAAATTGAAAAATCGAAAACCTGCAAAATCGTAAGATCGAAAAATTGAATAATAAGTAAACTGAAAAATCCCAATACTGAAATGTCCAAAAACTAAGAAATTAAAAAATTGAAAAATTGAGAAATCGAAAAATGTAAAATTTTAAATATTGAAAAATGAAAATATCAAAAAACTGAAAAATCTAAAATTTAAGAATCGAAAAATTAAAAAAACGACAATTGAAAAACAGAAAATCTAAAACCGGTAAGTCGAAAAATCGATCGAAAGATTAAGAAATCTAAACATTTGAAAAATTGAAATATGGAAGAGCCGAAATGAAAAATCGAAAAATCTTAAATTTTAAATATTGAAAAATTAAAATACCAAAAAATTGAGAAATCTAAAATTTAAAAATCGAAAAAGTAAAAAGTAGACACATCGAAAAATCCAGAAGTCAAAAATAGACAAGAAACAGAAAGAACAGAAATATTGAAAAATCCCAAAACTGAAATATCGAAAAACTGAAAAATGAAAGAAAAATTTAAAAATCCCAAAACTGAAATATCCAAAAACTGAGAATCTAAAGAATGGAAAAATTGAGAAATCGAAAAATCAAAAAAGTGAAGTCGAAATATCGAAACCTTAAAAAAATCGAAAAATTGAAAAATCAAAAACCCGCAAAATCGTAAGATCGAAAAATTGAATAATAAGTAAACTGAAAAATCCCAATACTGAAATGTCCAAAAACTAAGAAATTAAAAATTTGGAAAATTGAGAAATCGAAAAATCTAAAATTTTAAATATTGAAAAATTAAAATATCAAAAAACTGAAAAATCTAAAATTTAAAAATCGAAAAATTGAAAAAACGACAATTGAAAAACAGAAAATCTAAAACCGGGAAGTCGAAAAATTGATCGAAAGATTAAGAAATCTAAACATTTGAAAAATTGAAATATGGAAGAGCTGAAATGAAAAATCGAAAAATCTTAAATCTTAAATACTGAAAAATTAAAATACCAAAAAATTGAGAAATCTAAAATTTAAAAATCGAAAAAGGAAAAAGTAGACACATCGAAAAATCCAGAAGTCAAAAATGGAAAAGAAACAGAAAGAACAGAAATATTGAAAAATCCCAAAACTGAAATATCGAAAAACTGAAAAATGAAAGAAAAATTGAAAAATCCCAAAACTGAAATATCCAAAAACTAAGAATCTAAAGAATGGAAAAATTGAGAAATCGAAAAATCAAAAGAGTGAAGTCGAAATTTCGAAACCTTAAAAAAATCGAAAAATTGAAAAATCAAAAACCTGCAAAATCGTAAGATCGAAAAATTGAATAATAAGTAAACTGAAAAATCCCAAAACTAAAATGTCCAAAAACTGAGAAATTAAAAAATTGCAAGATTGAGAAATCGAAAAATCAAAAAAGTGAAGTTGAAAAATCGAAACCTGAAAAAATAGAAAAATTGAAAAACAAAAAAACCTGAAAAATCAATCAATTAAAAAATCGACAAATAAAGAGTTTATAAAAGTCAAAAATTGAAGAATTAAAGTGAATGAAACAGTAAGCAGCTTGTAATATTCTGGTAAATCTAGTGTCAATTTGTCGAAAGTAAAACACGTCGTTAAAAATATTATGACACTTTTTCTATTGTAGTTAATTTTATAGTTATAAACAAACACTGTTGCCAACATAAGTCGAGGAGTCCTCAACCGTCATTTAATTTAAATTATGACGCTTCTCTATGTTCTCTGGTTACACTGTAGAGGACATATGAGTGACGTCACCGACGGCTGCGATCACTTCAATTTCCACGTTTGCGTTTAAGGGGAGCTTGGCCACTTGAAAGGCAGACCGTGCCGGAAAATTGCTCTTAAAAACTGAAAATAGAATCAGTCTCCATCTATTGGTTAATAGCTTGAACTTACACTCCTTATAAACCACATTAACGTCAGCAAAGTCATTCATATTTGCCAAAAACAGCGTGCTTTTGATGACCTTCTCATAAGACGAACCAGAGTCTTCTAAAATGTATCCTAGCCATGTTAGAGCTTGTCTAGCTTCAGCTGCTGCTCCTCCTTCAACCAGTTTCAAGGTATTTTTGTCAAGGCCGAGGACTCCAGAGACGTAAAGAGTTCGGTCTAGAAGGACAGCCTGACTGTAACAGTTTGTTTAAAATTATATCAAGGACACAAAAATCACAAACTTATAAGGTGCTACGACTTTTGGGGCTCTTGACGTGCTTATGATTTTTCGAATAAGAGAAGACATTTTGTTGGGTCTGACAGGGTCAAAGTTCTTACACACACTGAAAGTATAAATATTTATTCGGTTAGTAACGAATTCATGATAATGATTGTTTTCACTATTATGTAATCAGTTAATTACTGATAAGGATTCTAAAACTCCACTTTTTACTTGTCGAGCGTAAACGAGCTTTCATATAGAATATTGTTCAGTCTTATCTTAGCAAGTTTTAGCCCCGCCCACCCACCCGCCCTCTATTTTCTTAGAGGGTATGTTATTTGCCACAGTCAGTCTTATCTTAGCCCGCGCAGCTAATTCTTGTGGCTTTCTAATCGGAAACAAAGTGATTTTTTTTACCGACCCCAACACGTGTAAATTTGTTCCATTATTTGTAAATTCACAGATACGGTTAGGATTGTAATCGTTAACTGATGCTTACACAATTTAACATACTGTAAATTTATTTACAACACTTCTTAGTTCTTCACACAGGATTGCTAATAGTTCATTTACGGCAGTTAATTAACAAAATTCACAATATCGATGCATTTTGTGTTTATTTATCATGTGTTTTGTTTGAGGTAAACAGTTGACGATATAAATTATTTGTTCGAATCGTTGATAAAGTTTTTTTCTTTTGTTGTTATAAATCTGCTAGTTTTTTTTTTATGTAAATATTTTGTTGATGAATGTTTCCATCACATAAATTACCTGATGTCCAATTTTAATCTCAAATAAGAATTATTTGTTGTTTTAAAATTTCACAAGATTGTATGGCGAATTTATGTTGTTTATTGCTCTTTTTGAAACTTTAACGCTTGTTCAATTGTAGTTTAATATCAGAGTTATAGAAATTAAACTTTTAAACGGAATTGAGTAACAATAACACTTGGCGGAAGCGGAGTGCGCGGTTCCTTTTCGAGCTGTCAGATCTTCCATAGCCGGGACCCAACTGTTTGTAATTTTTCGAAAATGCTGGAAGTTCTGTCGACTAATTTTGTATATTTAATCCAAATTTTGAATTTTTTGCCCAGAATATCTTTATTACTTAAGTTAAAAAAATCAGTTTACACAAAGTTGCAGATATTAAATGTTGCTGAATATTTTTAAATTTATCCCAGTTGCTGTCGCTATCCATGGAACGTAAGACGAAACTCTTGTGAATACCGAATTATTGTTGTCGTTTTCACAGCTACCACTCTGCGTGATGTAGATCAGGAATCCTAGTAGAACTGGTTTGTTGTTTTTGCTGGTGATAAACAATGGATCACCACTGTCTCCCTACAAAAAAATCTGAACTAATTTAAGGTCTAATAATTACGTAAAACTGACAGTGCAAGGTTTGCCTTCTGCAAGAAACGAAGTTGCGCAGATTTTGCTGTCAGCATAATTAACCAAAGCACATTTGGTCGAATCGGTTATGTGCATCGCAGCCTTTCTCATTCTGGAGGACAGTGATCCATCTACACAATTATTAAAGAAAAAAGACAAGTATTAGTGAAATAAAAACTTTAATTGTGTAAATTATTTATTGTACATACGGCTACTTGTCTTTCCAAAACCAGTAAGATATGCCATTTTTTCGAAAAGCAACTGCTTATCATTCATGTGCAGTCGAATTGGTTGAACACGGGGACCTAAAACATGATTTAAATCTTTTTTTTTTCGTAAAAAATTAATACTGAACCCAATTTGGCCGCTTCGTTCAATTCCAACAACGCAATGTCATTTAAACCAATACCGGTGTTGTCCATCGAAGTATAATTTGGATGGACAATAATTCTTTGCAAATCGTGTGTTTGAGAGTTCTCGCCATTGATGTGGATACTGCCTAGAGAGACACGAATCTCGCTCCTAAATTTTTTACTTCTATAGAATGTCTTTTAATATTTAATGTGACTTACGGTTTAGAGTTTGGTGTTTGTGTACAATGAGCGGTGGTTAATACCCATTGAGGGTGAATTAAACCACCACTACATAAAGGAGACCAGTCGTTGGTAAGTTCTATGCGTTGGAGTAAGAGTGCGTGGAACGGATAGTCTCCAGAGGCTGGTTCATCGGGTCTAAAATTTCCCTAAGTAGGTGGATTTCTTAAAATCAAATATGTGTGTGTAATGCACGTAGGTACTTACATTGGTTATAGGGCTTACACTTTCCAGTAAAACACACAAGTAAAAAAGTTGGCTAAAAAGTATCAACATTTTGATGTTTTCGCTACTGAATTATGGTTTTCGTGCGATTTCATTAAATAGCCAAATTTTTGACAATAGGTGATCATTAATTTAAAATAGACTATTTCCTGTTCAAAAACCTGTACAATAGACAAAAAAGCCAATTTTGTTGGAACGATTTATTAACATAAGTGGAGTTATTTAAATGCGATTAATCGTAAAGGTCGATTTATAAACTTGTGGCTGACGTTGCTGTTCGTTTTTTAACCTCCGCCCCCTTGGCTCACGACGAATAAAAAAATCATCACAATTGAGATAGGGCGGGTGGGCGGGGCTTAAATTTTTCCTTTTTTTCTTAAGATGTGTAGTTATCTTTTCACAACATGAAACTTAAAACATGTTTAAAATAGTTTAAAACTTTTGTTTTCTTAATATACATAGTCATTTTTCACAACAAGAAATTGAAAACATGGTTAAAATGGTACATTTTTGCAAGGAAATATGGATTTTGCAATTATGGGGCGGAGCTTAATGGCAAAATCGGTATTTCTTTATACAAATTTGGAAACAAGTCTACACATGTTAAAACAAAAAGGCAAAATATAAGCCCGCCCACCCGCCCTGTCTCAGTTGTGATGATTTTTTTTATTCGTCGTGAATCAAGAGGGTGGACGTTAACTGCAAAATACTTATTTCTTTACAGGAAATTAAAAACATGTTTTTGAGTATTGTGTTGTTTAAAGGGTACCATATATATTAAGAAAAAAAGACAAAATATAAACCCTGCCCACCCACCCCCTCTCAATTGTGATTTTTTTTATTCTTACAAACATAAAACGTGTTTAAAATGGTAAATTTTTGTAAGGAAATATGGATTTTGCAATTAGGCTCCGCCTCTAGGTCTGCTAACGAATGAAAACTTCATTACTATTTAGATCAGGGCAGGTAAGGGTGGGACTTAATTTTTGGCTTTATTTTTTTCTTATATTCAAATACATACGATACTCAAAAACATGTTTTTTATTTCTTGTGGAAAAAATAAGTATTTTGCAATTAACTTCCGCCCCCTTGGCTCACGACGAATAAAACATTCATCACAATTGAGATAGGGTGGGTGGGCGGGGCTTATATTTTTCCTTTTTTTCTTAATATGTGTAGTTATCTTTTCAAAACATGAAACTTAAAACATGTTTAAAGTAGTAAATTTGTATAGTGAAATATCAATTTTGCAATTACGCTCCGCCCCTCGACTTACGAATAAAAAAAATTATCAGAATTGAGATAGGGGGGCTGGTGGGGCCTTATATTTTGCCTTTTTTTTTTCTTAATATACATAGTCATCTTTTCATAACAAGAAATTGAAAACATGGTTAAAATGGTACATTTTTTCAAGGAAATATGGATTTTGCAATTATAGGGCGGAGCCTAATGGCAAAATCGATATTTTTTTTATACAAATTTGAAAACAAGTCTACCCATATTAAAACAAAAAGGCAAAATATAAGCCCGCCCACTCGCCCTGTCTCAATTGTGATTATTTTTTTTATTCGCCGTGAATCAAGAGGGTGGAGGTTAACTGCAAAATACTTATTTCTTTACAAGAAATTAAAAACATGTTTTTGAGTATCCTGTTGTTTAAAGGATACCATATATATTAACAAAAAAAGATAAAATATAAACCCTGCCCACCCATTTTTTTTATGTTCTTAGAAACATAAAACGTGTTTAAAATGGTAAATTTTCGTAAGGAAATTTGGATTTTGCAATTAGGCTCCGCCCCTAGGTTTGCCAACGAATGAAAACTTCATAAGTATTTGGATAAGGGCAGCTATCGGTGGGACTTAATCTTTGCCTTTATTTTTTTCTTATACTCAAATATACACGATACTCTAAAACATGTTTTGAATTTCTCCTATACAAATAAGGATTTTGCAGTTAAGCTCCGCCCTCTGGGCTCACGACGAATAAAAAAAATCATCACAATTGAGATAGGGTGGGTGGGCGGGGCTACGTTTTGTCTTTTTCTTCTTAATATGTGTAGACTTATTTCGACAATAAGAAACTTAATCCATCTCAAAAATTCTTGTTATTGTCCATTGTGTAATTTTTCAATAAATCCAATTTTCGATTAACAACTTTTTGAGTTTTCAGTTTTCGGGTTTTTACTTTGAGTATTTCGAATTTTCCGATCTACGATTTTTAATTTTTCCTTTCTTCAATATTTTGATATATTTTTAAAATTTTTCGAGTTTTTGTTTTTCGTTGCTTCATCTTTAGGATTTGCAATTTCTAGATTCCACAATTTTTCTATTTTTGAATTTTAAACATGTTTTAAGTTTCATCTTGTGAAAAGAAATCTACACATATTAAAAGAAAAAGATAAAATATAAGCCCGCCCACCCGCCTTATCTCAATTTTAATTATTTTTTTTTATTCGTCATGAACCAAGGAGGCGAAGCTTAACTGCACAATAATTATTTTTTACAGGAAATTAATAACATATTTTTGAATATCGTGTTGTTCAAAGAATACAGTGTATACTAATAAGAAAATGGCAAAATATAGACCCCGCCCACCCACCCCATTTCAATTGAGATGATTTTTTATTCTTAGAAGCTTAAAACGTGTTTAAAATGTTAAATTTTTGTAGGTAAATCTGGATTTTGGAATTAAGCTCCACCCCTCGATCTGACAAATAATGAAAAATTGAGAATTGAGATCGGGGCGGGTGTGGCTGGAACCAAATCTTCGGCTTTGTTTTTCTCTTAATATACATAGTTTTCTTTGAGCAACCGATTACTTAATATCACGTTTCACATGGAAATTTCTCGTAGAAAACTAAGGATTTTGCAATTAAGCTCCGCCCCCCTGGCTTACGACGAATAAAAAAAATCATCACAATTGAGACAGGGTGAGTGGGCGGGGCTTATAATTTGTCTTGTTTTTTAATATACGTAGTCATCTTTTCATAACAAAAAACTGAAGACATGTCTAAAATGGTACATTTTTGCAAGGAAATATAGATTTTGCATTATGGGGCTCAGCCTAATGGCAAAATCGATATTTCTTAGTACAAATTTTCCATTTTAAACATTTTAAGTTGCATGTTGTGAAAACAAGTCTACACATATTAAAACAAAAAGGCAAAATATAGGCCCGCCCACCCGCCCAGTCTCAATTGTGATGATTTTTTTTATTCGCCGTGAATCAAGAGGGTGGAGTTTAACTGCAAAATTATTTCTTTACAAGAAATTTAAAACATGTTTTTGAGTATCGTGTTGTTTAAAGAATACCATGTGTACTAAGAAAAAAAGACACAATATAAACCCCGCCCTCTCACCCCCTCTCAATTGTGATGACTTTTTTTATTCGTAGAAACATAAAACGTGTTTAAAATGGTAAATTTTTGTAAGGAAATATGGATTTTGCAATTAGGCTCCGCCCCTAAGTTTGTCAACGAATGAAAACTTCATTAGTATTTAGATCAGTGCAGGTATGGGTGGGACTTAATCTTTGGCTTTATTTTTTTCATATACTCAAATGTACGCGATACTCTAAAACATGTTTTGAATTTCTCCTAGACAAATAAGGATTTTGCAGTTAAGCTCTGCCTTCTTGGCTCACAACGAATAAAAAAATCATCATGATTGAGATAGGGTGGGTGGGCGGGGCTACGTTTTGTTTTTTTCTTCTGAATATGTGGACACTTATTTCGACAATAAGAAACTTACTCCATCTCAAAAATTCTTGTTACTGTCCATTGTGTAATTTTTCGATAAATCCAATTTTTTGAGTTTTCAGTGTTCGGGTTTTTACTTTGAGTGTTTCGAATTTTCCGTTACACGATTTTTAATTTTTCCTTTCTTCAATATTTTGATTTGCAATTTTTTTAATTTTTCGAGTTTTTCGTTTTTCGTTGCTTCACCTTTGGGATTTGCAATTTCTAGATTCAACAATTTTTCGATTTTTGAATTTTTCGGTTCTTCGAAAACAGGCTTTCGGACACCGTAAAATACCAAAATTGATATATATATATATATATAACCTGAATTGTCAATAGCGTATTCATATATATTTTTTATTTGCATTAACAAAAATATATTAATTACAATGTAATACATATTTCCCTATTTTTTTTGCTTTGCGAACTTCATCCTTGATTGTATTTTTTAAAATTCACTCCAGTCACTCTCGATATCCACGCAATGTAGGCCGAAACTCTCGTATACACCGAGTTGTTGTGCACCAGTTCGCAGTTTGCAGACCGAGCCAAATAGCTGGTTATTCCAATTTGGATGCGCTTTTTATTTTTGACGATAAACAAAGGCCCACCGCTGTCGCCCTACAAAACAACCAATAACCACCCTCATTGCACCTATTAATAAAGTATACATCGCAAGCTTTCCCTTCCGCTAGAGTAGAAGCTGCACAGATTTCCGTGTGCAAGTAGCGGCGATGACCAGTACATTTCTTGTAACTAGTGATATGGAATTTGGCCTTCCGCATCCTGTGCGGCGTCCGACGGGCATCTAAAATTTTCAACATTAATAAAAACAATCACGCGCCATCTAGAGTCCGATAGCTCAACCACAACAACGCATCGTGCTCTTAAATTATATCTGCATACCATTAATCACCCCGAAACCAGTCAAATACGCCGTCTTCTTCACCAGCGGCTCTTGATCATTAATATGCAGCCGAATTAGCTGCACTTTCGACCCTTCAAAAACCTTTTTACACTTTCGTTACACCAAACATCCCTTACCTAGTTTAGCAGGTGTTTTCAGTTTCAACAACCCGATGTCGTTCTTGTCCGTCCTGAGATACGTCGGATAAATAAAAGTTTTTTTAATGGCGTGAAGTTGGCCGTTTTTGCCACTCCTGTAGATGCTCCCCAACGCTGCATAGATCTCAGTCCTGAATTATTCACTTGAATGGCTGCCAAGATCTGTACTTACGGTTTAAAAGGTTTTGAATGTTTGTCTTCTTGGATGCAATGAGCGGCGGTTAAAACCCAGCTGGGGTGGATTAAACTGCCCCCGCAGAAACTGAAGAATTGCTTGGAATTTATTTTTTGGAGGAGGTTGGCGTGGTAGGGGTATTTTCCAGCGGCGGGCTCCGTGGGTTTGAAGCGGCCCTAAATAAGGTAGTAGTGTTTTGGGACGCCACTGCGCACTGGTATCAGACCAGGTAGATTTATACGTACGTTTACTATAGGGGTTGCGCTTGTGGGGGAAATACATAAGTAGAAAAGTAAGAGGGTTTTCGGACCCATCAAAACTAACTCTCATTGGATAACAATAACCAAATGGACGGACTAAGTAATACCAATTTTATTACATTTTTTGTACATGGTCGTTACTGAATAAAAACTGTTAACACTGATTACTGGCTAATTTAAAATATATAATCTACGTCTAGTCGCAGCACCGGAAAAATATTTCCTGCCACGACACTACTTTACTTTAGTCGAATATTTTATTAATTTTTATTGTAGCGTGTAAAATTTATGCCAGTGACTCGAGATATCCAAGAAATGTAGGCAGACACTCGAGTATAAACGGAATTATTAAAGGCCACTCGGCATATTGGTAGGAGCGCCAGGTGACTTGTAATGCCAACTTGGATGTATTTACCATTTTTCGTGATGAATAGTGGCCCCCCGCTGTCCCCCTAAAAAATACAGGTGTATTTTGTGACTACTGATTTTTTAATAATACCGTACTTTACAGGCTTTTCCCTCGGAAATTTTCGACGCTGCGCAAATTTCACTGGTCTTGAACTGCGCCTCACTGAAGCATTTGTCGTAGTTGCTTATGTGTAAGACGGCTTTTCGCAGTCTTTGGGGGGTTTGGTAGAAATCTGTAACGATTATTTAGTGTGCCGCTTGCTTGGAATGACGACAAGGTGTAAATGTGCCGCCTTTCGCAAATATGCATACCATTAATAATCCCAAATCCTGTAAGATAAGCGGTTTGATTCAAAAGCGATTCTTTGTTGTTGGTATGCAACTGAATAAGCTTGACGTTAGGTCCTTAAACACGAAATGAAAAATTTGTAGACATTTTCATCCAGAATTACCTAATTGTGCCGACGTTTTCAGCTTTAGTAAACCAATGTCGTGCCTACCTCCTGTACTCAAATACAAGGGGTGGATTATCACCCTTTCAACCCTCAAAATCTGGGCTTGCTTACCGCTTCTGTAGACGCTCCCCAAAGCCACAAAAGCGTCACTTCTTCAATTCAATTTTGCTTGAATACCCACATTTACTAATATACCTGGTGGCAATAATTAACTTACGGTTTAAGTTTCGGATAGTCTTCATCCAACTGGATACAGTGTGCCGCCGTTAGAATCCATCTAGGGTGGATTAAACTACCCCCACAGAAACTATGGTAAGATTTCCCGTCATCCCTGCGTTCCATTAAACTAGCATGGAACGGAAATTGACCCAAATTGGGTTCAATGGGTTTAGAAAAACCCTATTTTGTAACAATTTCAAAAATTTTGTCGTTCGATATTACAAAGTACACTTACGTTCACAATGGGTTTGGTTTTCACTTTCAAAATCAAACAAATTGTTATTAATAATAATAATGTGAAATAGATTCGCATTCTCTGGAACTGTCATTAGCACGGGTGATGTATTTGAGGCTTTGTTTAATCTGATTGATACCATCATTAAACACAAAGCGGATGAAACGAAGGTAAACATTAAACACAAATTATATTTATTTTTTAGTCGGTGTAGTGTAACAAAAAAAATATTGTCAAGGTGAGCTGTGACACTTATTCATTATTTATTTATTTGGAGTTTTAATAAATACAGGGATAATTTTTCATGTTGCACCCTCTTGTATTCGTTCACTGATCACCCCAATCTCGTCCTCTTCGAGCCGCCCCTTATTCAAAGCTATACTAAAAGTCTTAATCGTGTCCCCCCTCGCCGTAATCCATATAATAAAAAAATCATCACAATTGACACAGGGTGGGTGGGCGGGGCTTATATTTTGTCTCGTTTTTTAATATACGTAGTCATCTTTTCACAACAAAAACTGAAGACATGTCTAAAATGGTACATTTTTGCACGGAAATATGAATTTTTCATTATGGGGCTCAGCCTAATGGCAAAATCGATATTTTTTAATACAAATTTTCCATTTTAAACATTTTAAGTTTCATGTTGTGAAAACAAGTCTACACATATTCAAACAAAAAGGCAAAATATAAGCCCGCCCACCCGCCCTGTCTCAATTGTGATGATTTTTTTTATTCGCCGTGAATCAAGAGGGTGGAGCTTAACTGCAAAGTTATTTCATTACAAGAAATTAAAAATATGTTTTTAAGTTTTGTGTTCAAAGAATACCATCTATATTAAGAAAATAAAGACAAAATATTTACCCCGCCCACCCACCCAATCTCAATTGTGATGATTTTTTTTATTCTTAGAAACATTAAACTTGTTTAAAATGGTATTTTTTGTAAGGAATTATGGATTTTGCAATTCGGCTCCGCCCCTAGGTTTGCCAACGAATGAAGTAGTAGTATTTCGATCAGGGTAGGTATGGGTGGGCCTTAATTTTTGGCTTTATTTTTTTCTTATACTCAAATATACACGATACTCTAAAACATGTTTTGAATTTCTCCTAGACCAATAAGGATTTTGCAGTTAAGCTCCGCCCTCTTGGCTCACGACGAATAAAAAAATCATCACAATTGAGATAGGATGGGTGGGCGGGGTTACCTTTTGTCTTTTTTTTTTCTTAATATGTGTAGACTTTTTTCGACAATAAGAAACTTAATCCATCTCAAAAATTCTTGCTACTGTCCATAGTGCAATTTTTCAATAAATCCAATTTTCGATTAACAACTTTTTGAGTTTTCAGTGTTTGGGTTTTTACTTTGAGCGTTTCGAATTTTCAGTTACACAATTTTTAATTTTTCCTTTCTTCAATATTTTATTTGCAATTTTTTTAATTTTTCGAGTTTTTGTTTTTCGTTGCTTCACCTTTGGGATTTGCAATTTCTAGATTCCACAATTTTTTTATTTTTGAATTTTAAACATGTTTTAAGTTTCATCTTGTGAAAAGAAATCTACACATATTAAAAGAAAAAGATAAAATATAAGCCCCCCAACCCGCCCTATCTCAATTTTAATTATTTTTTTTTTTTTTGTCATAATCCAAGGAGGCGAAGCTTAAGTGCACAATAATTATTTTTTTTACAGGAAATTAAAAACATGTTTTTGAATATCGTGTTGTTCAAAGAATACAGTGTATATTAATAAGAAAATGGCAAAATATAGACCCCGCCCACCCACCCCATTTCAATTGAGATGATTTTTTATTCTTAGAAGCTTAAAACGTATTTAAAATGTTAAATTTTTGTAGGTAAATATGGATTTTGGAATTAGGCTCCACCCATCGAGATCGTTTTGTCAGATGACAAAGAATGAAAAATTGAGAATTGAGATCGGGGCGGGTGTGGCTGGAACCAAATCTTCGGCTTTGTTGTTCTCTAATATACACAGGTTTCTTTGAACAACACAATTACTTAAGACCAAGTTTCACATGGTAATTTCTCCTAGAAAAATAAGGATTTTGCAATTAAGCTCCGCCCCCCTGGTTTACGACGAATAAAAAAAAATCATCAGAATTGAGACAGGGTGGGTGGGCGGGGCTTATATTTTGTCTTGTTTTTTAATATACGTAGTCATCTTTTCAAAACAAAAAACTGAAGACATGTCTAAAATGGTACATTTTTGCAAAGAAATATGAATTTTTCATTATGGGGCTCAGCCTAATGGCAAAATCGATATTTTTTAATACAAATTTTCCATTTTAAACATTTTAAGTTTCATGTTGTGAAAACAAGTCTGCACATATTAAAACAAAAAGGCAAAATATAATATTTTTTAGTCGGTGTAGTGTAACAAAAAAAAATATTGTCAAGGTGAGCTGTGACACTTATTCATTATTTATTTATTTGGAGTTTTAATAAATACAGTGACAATTTTTCATGTTTCACCCTCTTGTATTCGTTCACTGATCACCCCAATCTCGTCTTCTTCGAGCCGCCCCTTATTCAAAGCTATACTAAAAGTCTTAATCGTGTCCCCTCTCGCCGTAATCCATATAATCCCATAGTTGTTAATCTGCATGGTCACTTCTATGTTCCTATTTTTAGCCGACGGCTTAATCCACTTGATCTCGTGAGCCCCCAGAAGCACATTTTTACTACAGTCCAAATCCCCTCCTTCGTACACTGACAAAATACACCCCTGCCTCCTCTGCTTACTATTCTTCACCACGTGGTTGTGCTTAGAATTGGCCGGCAGAGGCGTATTTCGTGCAAAATTGAAAAAAATACTATCTTCATCTAGAACCGTCCCGATTGACAATGGAAGAACGTCAATCAGAAGCGAGCTAGCTCCTTGAAGATTTTTAACAAAGTCGGCTTCAATAGCAGCCCCTATCGCTATAGCTTCATCCGCATTAATATTCCTTTGAATGGGTTTATTGTTAAAGTACTCTTTAAGAAGCGCCTCTAGTTTAGGAATGCGCGACGAACCCCCCACTAGTAGTACCTCATCTATATCCTCTCTACTAAGTCGTCGATTTTTAATACACGCATCCACAATCTTGATTGTTTCTTTGAAAAGATCTTCATTCAGCTCTTCAAACTTCTCCCGCGTTATTTCCAACTCACTCGTGGCCAAAAATTCCGGTACTACGGTGGTACTTTTCGCCGTTGCTAGAATCTTCTTCGCCCGTTCGCACTGCCCGATGATGCTCCACATGAAGCGTTTGTTCTCCCTCACCGCCACGTTGCACCTGGTTTCCACCTCCCCCACCACGTACTCCACCAACCTGTTCAAAAAATCCTGCCCCCCTAGGTGAGTATTCCCGGCTACTGAGAGCACGGTGATGTTTCCACTGCACGTCTTCACTATAGACACGTCGAAGGTACCGCCGCCCAGGTCGTAAATCAGGATGGTTTTTTCTCGGGTGGTACTGCGGTTGTCGTGGATGTAGGCCAGGGCGGCAGCGCTCGGTTCGTTGATCAGTTTGATCACTTCCAAGCCGGCGATTTTGGCGGCGTCTCTGGTGGCGGCGCGCTGGTTGTTGTTGAAGTACGCCGGTACTGTAATCACGGCTTTGGATATTTTCTGGCCGAGGTAGTTCTGGGCGTCGACTTTGAGCTTGTGGAGGATTCGGGCGCACACTTCTTCGGGGAGGATGTGGATCTTGTGGGATTCGTGGTCGACTTCGATTTTTATTTCGCCGTTGGTACCGCGGATGAAGTTGTAGGTGAGCGAGGATTTGCAGGATTCGATGTCGGGGTCGTCGTGCAGGCACCCAATGAGGCGCTTTATTTCTGGAAATTAAAAATTGAGGTTAAAATTGCTTAATCATTGTAATAGATAGTTTATCGTAGCTGCAAACATATTTCACAATCTTTCATAAAATAAACAGCTCCGTACTTTTATTTTGTACCTATTTTAGTAATTTTGTTTTTGACATTTAATAAATAATAATAGAACATATATTTTATACAGTACGTACCGTAAATTCCGTTTGAAGGTTTAGATGCTGCCTCATGTTTGGCCGTTTTTCCGACCAGGGTGTTATTATTTTTCCCATAATATACGAAAGACAGCGTTGTTCTGTTGCCCTCACTGTTCGGAATGACATCTATTCTTCCGTTTCGTTTAACAGCGATGCAAGAATTCGTTGTCCCCAGGTCGATCCCTACAACTAAATCAGCCTCCATGATTGCGATATCAAACTGATTATTTTGTGAAACAATAAATCACTCAGTTTATGTTTTCCAAGAGCCGAGATTATCTTATCAATGAAATCAAGTAAACAATTTTTAAAACTTGCTGTTGACGTTGAACTTCCCGTTGCACTTGATGTTTTTACCGTTTTAGACATGTTTTAAGTTTCTTGTTGTCGAAATAAGTCTACACATATTAAGAAAACAAGGCAAAATGTTGACCCGCCCACCCACCCCATCTCAATTGCGATTATTTTTTTTATTCGTTGTGAGTCTACGAGGGCTTATATCCCGTGCTGGTACCTACTTTAAAGAAATAAATAAATAATAATTAATATTTCTTTCCGTTTTGGGAATTTTCAATATTTCGTTTCTTCGATTTTTTATTTTTTCATTTTTTAAACTTTCGATTTTTCAGCTTTTCGACTGTTTTATATTTCTATTTCTTAATTTTTCAAATTCTCGACATTGTAATTTTTCATTTTTAAAATTCTAGATTTTTCGATTTCTCGAGTTCTCAATTCTTCTATATTTTAATTTTTTTATTTTCCCAATTTTTAAATTTTCGATTTCTAGATTTTTTTATTTTCCGATGTCTCAATTTTCCGATGTTTCAATGATACGATTTCTTAATTTTTGTCCTCTCTCAATTTTGCGGTTTTTAAATATTTCGATTTTTCAATTTTTCAAATTTTCACGTTTCTAAATTTTCAGTTTTCCATTTTTGAAGTAACTTTTTTTCCATTTCTCGACTTCCTGAAGTTTCAGTTTTCAATTCTTCAATTCTTCAATTTTTCGATTTTTTCAGCTTACGATTTTTCGACTTTGCTTTTTTAGTTTTTCGATTTCTCAATTTTCCAATTTTTTAATTTCTCAGTTTTTGAATATTTCTTCAGTTATGAGATTTTTCAATATTTCGATTTTTCGACTTTTCAATTGCCGGATTTTTTTTGATTTCTAGATTTTTTACTTTTTGGATTTTCAATTTTTTGCTAATCTTTAGATTTTTCAATTTTTCGATTGTTTTATTCTTCGTTTTCTCAATTTTTCAACTTTTCGATGTCAATTTTTAAAATTCTAGCTTTTTCGATATCTCGAGTTTTCAGTTCTTCTATATTTCAGTTTTTCGAATTTTTAAATTTTCGATTTTCCAGTTTTTCTTTTTTAAAATTTTTCGATTTCTCGATTTATCGAATTCAGATGTTTCGTGGTTTTTATTGTTCATTTTCTCGATTTATCAATTTTTTTAATTTTCAACTTTTCTTTTCGGCTTTCGAGTCCTCAATTTCTCGATCTTTTGATTTTTCGATTTCTCGATGTCTCAGTTTTTGAATTTTTCGATGTTTCGATTTTTGGGTTTCTCGATTTTCCAATTTTTCAATGTTTCAATTTTTTAGTTATCGGATTTTTCAGTTTTTCGATTTTTAAATTTTTAATTTTCGAACTTTTTTTTTTTGCTTTTTTGTTTGAAATTCTAGATTCTTCAATTTTGCGATATCTTAATTGTTCAATGTTTTAAATTTTTCAATTTTTCAAATTTTAACGTTGCTAAATTTTCAGTTTTCCGATTTCCCAATCGATCTATTTTCGATTTTCTCACTTCTCAAAGTTTCGATTTTTCAGTTCTGCAATTCTTCGATTTTTCGACTTCGCTTTATTGGGTTTTCGATTTCTCAATTTTTTAATTCCTCAATTTTTGGATATTTCTTTCAGTTTTGAGATTTTTCAATATTTTGATTCTTCGACGTTTCGATTTTTCGATTTCTGGATTTTTCGATTTTTTATTTTTGGGTTTTTGAATTTTTCGTTTTTTTAACTTTAGATTTTCCAATTTTTCGTTTGGTCTATATTTCAATTTTTCAATTTTTCTACTTTCCGGTTCTATTTTTCAATTTTTCGAATTTTTAAATTTTCGATTTTTCAATTTTTTGAAATCTCGATTTATCGAGATTTGGATGTTTCGATTTTTTGATTGTTCAATCTCGATTTATCAATTTTTCCATTTTTAACTTTCCGATTTTTCGATTTTGGCCTATTTCGGTTTCTCGATTTTTCGACTTGTCGACTTTTCGACTCCTCGATTTTTCGATTTCTCGATGTCTCAGTTTCTGAATTTTTCGATTTGTCGGTTTTTCGATTTTTACTTTTCGACTTTTCGGTTTTTCTGTTTCGATTTTTATGTTATTCGATTTTTCAATTTTCCAATTGTTTTTAATTGTCGAGTTTCGATTTCTCGATTTGTTGATTTTTTAGTTTTTCGATTTTCAAATTTAAATTTTTCAATTTTTATTTTTTTATTTTTTGATTTTTATATTTCTCCATTTTTCAATTTTACGATATTTTAATTTTTCAATGTTATAAATTGTTCGATTTTTATGTTCTTCAATATTTTTTAATTTCTCAAATTTTGACGTTTCAGAATTTTCAGATTTCCGATTTCTCAATTAATCTACTTTTTGATTTCCCAAAGTTTCGATCTTTCAGTTCTTCAATTTTTCGATTTTTCAGATTTTTGGTTTTCCAATTTTTCAGTGTTTCGATTTTTTAGTTATCGGATTTTTCAATTTTTCGATTTTTTAAATATTGGAGTTTCGAATTCTCGATTTGTCGATTTTTCAGTTTTTCGATTTTTAAATTTTAAATTTTCTAACTTTTTTTGCTTTTTTGTTTGGATTTCTAGATTCTTCAATTTTGCGATATTTTAATTGTTCAATGTTTTAAATTTGCAATTTTTCAGATTTTGACGTTGCTAAATTTTCAGTTTTCCGATTTCTCAATCGATCTATTTTTGATTTTTCCACTTTTCAAAGTTTCGATTTTTCAGTTCTGCAATTCTTCGATTTTTCGACTTCGCTTTATTGGTTTTTCGATTTCTCAATTTTTAATTCCTCGATTTTTGGATATTTCTTTTAGTTTTGAGATTTTCCAATATTTCGATTCTTCGACGTTTCGATTTTTCTATTTCTGGATTTTTCGATTTTTTATTTTTGGGTTTTTGAGTTTTTCGTTTTTTTAACTTTAGATTTTCCAATTTTTCGTTTGGTCTATATTTCAATTTTTCAATTTTTCTACTTTCCGGTTCTATTTTTCAATTTTTCGAATTTTTAAATTTTCGATTTTTCAATTTTTTGAAATCTCGATTTATCGAGATTTGGATGTTTCGATTTTTTGATTGTTCAATTTTTCCATTTTTAACTTTTTTTAATTTTACGATATTTTAATATTTCAATGTTTTAAATTTTAGATTTTTCGATTTTTCAGTTCTTCAATAGTTTTTAATTTTCCACATTTTGACGTTTCAGAATTTTCAGATTTTCGATTTCTCAATTAATCTACTTTTTGATTTCCCAAAGTTTCGATCTTTTCAGTTCTTCAATTTTTCGATTTTTCAGTTTTTCGATTTTTTAGAGTTGCGATTTTTCGACTTTGCTTTTTAATATTTTGTTCAATTTTGTGATTTTTCAGTTTTTCGACTCTTAGTATTTCGACTTTTCGATTTTTCTAATTCTGGATATTTCGATTTTTCAATTTTTCGACTTTTTTATACTTCGATTTCTTAATTTTTGAACTTCTCGATTTTCTAACTTTTCAGTTTTTAAAATTTTAGGTTTTTCGATTTCTCAACTTTTCGGTTCTTCTATCTCAATTTTTCAATTTTCGGAATTTTTAAATTTTTGATTTTCCGTTTTTTTTTATTTTTCTATTTTCAACATCCATACTTAAAATCGGCAAAAATTATGTTACTAAGGGAGAATAAAAAAGCAAAAATTAAATCTTAAATCTGCCTTAAAACTTGAGAAAATTGCGTCAGTTTCGGTACTACGCCACTGTACAAAATTAAAACTTTTCCCTAAATTCCAACCTTGCGCCGCCACTGCTATTAGACAAATAAAATCGTGTTAAACCATGGCCGACTAGTATAAAGATTATGGCCTGTCCAAGAGGTACATAGATAAATAATACTACGTAAAATAGAATGCAAACTCGGCTGTAATGCGTGTCCCAGGTTTGTGTCTAGGCTTATGTACCGGCCACATAATAAGAGATAGCACTGATAGCAGTAAAGTATTTTTTTCCAAAAATTACTTGGCGACAACTTCCACAGCCAATTTTAAGAAACAATAAAAAAACTAATGTCATTTATGATTAGTATAAAAGTGTCATTTGTGTGATTATACGTGATAACAAAGCGTAAAATATGAAACTATGCAGTGTTTTGAAATGTCTAAACACTAAAATTATTAAACGCCATCGTTTTCCCAACCCCTACAAATACAACGAGCGTTTTAAAATTTGGTTGGAACGGACAGGGAATCCAAATTTAGGCAAATTAGATCCCACGAAAATATATAAAAATGGATATTTTCTTTGCGATGTACATTTTAAAGAAACGGATTTTGGCCCCAATCAAAAACTTAAAAATACTGCCATTCCTACAATTCAAATTATGCATGGTAAATATTTGTGTGCAAGTGAATGCCATAGATAATTTTTACAATAATTTCAGATAATATGAACGACCCCGAAAGACACACCCATGATCCCGTAAACCCTATTTCTATACTGGATTCTCAAAAATTTTGTACTGAAGTATCTCGAAATTCCAGAGAAACCCTAAACGAAACTTTAAACCAAGAATCTTCTCGAATACTAAATTTACATTCAAATTCTAGGAATATTTCGCGTACAGCCCGTAGAAACAAAATTAAGGTAGCTTCGTATCGCCAACGATTGAAATTATACTCCAAATTTGAAGTAAAATTAGAAAGCAAAATTTTAAGTCAGGATGCTATAAATTTTTGTTTATCACAATTAAAAAGACGAAATGTCAAACCAAAGGGTCGCAGGTTTACCACTGAAGATAAATTATTTGCATTAATGTTTTATAAACAGTCTGGGAGATGTTATAGAAAAATGAGACAGATTTTTGCACTGCCTTCACGTCAAACAATTATGTCTATGTTGAACAAAATTCCAGTAGACGTTGGTATAAACAAAATAATTTTCGACAATCTTAAAGAATCTGCTTCAAAATTAAATAACCAAGATAGAATATGTGCATTAATTTTTGATGAAATGTCCATAATGCCCCACATAGACTATGACAAATATACGGATACATTTTTCGGATTTCAAAATTTTGGATTTGAACAAAATTTACAGATAGCAGATCATGTTCTTGTTTTTTTCATTCGCGGAGTGTTTAAAAAATGGCAACAGCCAATATACTTTGCATTTTCTTTTTCGTCTACAAAATCTTACATATTGACAACTATTATAAAAACTCTGGTTGAAAAAATACAAAATTGTGGATTCAAAATTCTGGTTACAATTTGTGATCAAGGCCAACCAAACCAAGCAGCTATAAATTCTCTGCTAAAGGAGTCGAAACAACGTTATATACATAAAGGGATGGAACCTAAAAGAAGAATTTTATTAGGGGATCAAGAAATTATTCCCTTATATGACACGCCTCATTTAATTAAATGTATTAGGAACAATCTGCTTACTAAAAATTTAGTGTGGAAAACAAGCGAGGAAATTTTGGTTGCAAATTGGAAACATATAATCGATGCGTACTACAGTGATCAAACATGTGGAGAATTACGGGCTCTACACAAAATTACGGATCTCCACGTAATTCCGGAAAAAATTCAAAAGATGAAGGTGTGCTATGCGACACAAGTTTTGAGTCACTCAATGGCATCGACTATTACGCTATTGGTTAAATCTAGTAAATACAAATTTAAAAATAATTAACAGATTCATTTACAATTTAATTTTACAGCCGAATGCAGTTTAACACACGAGGCAATGGGAACAGCACGAATTATAAAATTTTTTGACAAGCTCTTCGACAGTGTAAATGGCAGTACTTTTCAAGCACGGTGCGGAAAACCATTTTCTGGGGGCGTATTTAAATCTTCTGGTCATAAACATTTTTGGAAGGAAGCTATCAAAATTTTGGGTGATATGTATTTCGTCGATGAGGCCGGAAAAATGGTAGTACCTCCGTGTATAAAAAACTGGATTGCAACGTTAGAAGGTTTTGTGGATTTACATACAATTTTAGTAGAACAGGGCAGGTGCAAATATTTTTTACCTAGATGTTTAAATCAAGATGTTATTGAAAACTATTTTGGCAAAATCAGAAGTCAAAGAAATCGAGCAACTAATCTAACGGCAGCCCAATTTAAGGAAAGTTTCAAATCTCTATTATTACGCAATTTTTATAGTTCAAATTCAGTGGGCGCAAACTGTGAGAAAACGAACATACCGGATTTATTTCATATTAAAAGACTTGTGGATAAAAACATAAATCAACCTTCAGTATATGAAACGAGTTACGAAATTTTAAACGTGAATATGTAGATTTCAAAACTGTCTCCATATAATTTAGAAAAAGATCTTCATAAAAGTATTGTTGGTTATGTGTCTGGCTGGGTTGCGAAAACATTAAGAAATTTGAAGTGTGAATATTGTAAAACCCAAATTTTAAACAATTTTTCGGAAGACGAACAATGTTACAAATTAATACGTATAAGAGAATACAATTGTAATAACAGAAAATTGCAATATTGTAAGTTAGATTTTATAAAAAACATTAACAGAATTTATAATATTTCAAGAATCGTTTTAAACAATTGTACATCTTTCGACAACATCAAAAACAAAATTTCGTTTATAGTATCTCATCATGTCAAATTTTCGTTTCATTGTGAACATAAGGAATTAATTGAAAGTGAAATATGTAATAAAATTATATATTTAACAATTTTTACGTTTGTAAAAGGTTTGAATTTAATTTTAAGCGGTCGCGATACAAGAGTTTCCACACATAAAAATGCATTATATCAAAACGCTTGTATAATGTACCAAAAAAAATTAAAGTCAAAAAATCGTAGACAATACTAATAAATTGTATATTATTCTACTTTGTGTTTTTGATATTATTAGTGATAATAAAAATAAAATATTAATTATAAAATATGCAGCAATGACGCATCTAGTAGTTCATGCTTTAGCACCGGCCACAAGGCACCAGGGGGCGTTTATTGAGACCAAAAATCAAGTGGGAGTTTGCATTCTATTTACGTAGTATTATTTATCTATGAAGAGGTACGATACGTGTTGCCATCTATTAATAATTACACTTAATAATTTAGCAAAATTTTAATTTGACTTGACATTATGGGACTTCAAAACGTGTAATGGTGGTTTGTTTCGGTATGAATGCCTTTGTGCCTTTCAAAAGGTGTTAATAATTCTTTTGTCGTTTTTGAATTATTAATAGATGGCAGCACGTAATGTACCTTTGACATTCCTTTGGACAGGCCATAATCTTTATACTAGTCGGCCATGGTTAAACTAATTCTCCATTTCCGACTACCAATTTTTATAATTCTTCAATGAAACGAAATTAGTTGGCTGAGAGCAGTTCTGTCAAAGTAACTTTCCACCAATTTTTCCAAATACATTTGAAAAAAGCGCCAACTTCACTCCGTCGTTTCAAATTTTCGCGCGCTTTCGCCGACAGGTCCACGTCATCTGTCAGTTAGCTGTCAACCGAATTGTCAAGTATGTCACAACACAACACTACTAATTACAAAAATTCGTGAGGTATCTTTTTGTAAAAGTAGTCGCAGTCAACACAGTTACCCTTAAATGAGTAACTTTCTGGTAACCACACCACCATGCGGAAACGCCACATATGGACAATTTGTGCTCTGGTAGTGGGGCTTTTTGCGAACTTTATTTACAATGATGAAATAAGCGAGGTTTGTTGTCACTTTTGTAAAACACGCCGTCTTCACTTTGTACGAATTGTAGAAAGTCGCCAGCACTGAGCTGGCCCCTGAGAAAGACGAAAGGTTGCTGGTTTTCTCAACCCTGAATGGAGATTTGGTGGGAATTGAGCAACACTCAGGCCGCATCCGGTGGAAAATTAAAGATAGTAATATTAAATTAACATTGTCAGGCTTCCAGTGACGTTTATCTTGTAGAACCCATAGTCCAGGTTCCGGTGGACACCACAAACGCCATAATACCCCTATTCTTGCCAGACCCCAGAGATGGCTCCTTGTACCTCCTAGGCAACAACCGCGAGCCCCTAAAAAAGCTACCATTCACGATCCCACAACTAGTGGCGTCATCACCTTGCAGGAGCTCTGATGGAATTTTATACACAGGTTTTTACAAATATAAATAAAAATCTGAACCCACTTTAGCTAATTTTTGACCCATAGGCAAGAAAAAAGACACGTGGTTCAAGCTGGACCCCGTGTCGGGCAAGAAGGAGCAGGTTTTGGGCTGGGACCCGAGCCCCACGTGCCCCATCGAATCCACGAGTTTCGTTTTTATAGGGCGCACCAAGTACGATATTATGATGGTCGACAGCCACAATTCACAACGTAAATGGAACGTTACGTTTTATGATTACACTGCTCAAACTATGAGTAAAGAGGAGATGAATAATTACGGTATAGTTTTATGGTTCAAAAAAAAAAAAATTGTGTGACGTTTTTGTCTAGATTTGGCTCATTTCGCGTCGAGTTCTACGGGAAGGTTGGTCACGATGGACCGACGAAGGGGGAATTTGCTGTGGGATGGCGATTTGGGTAGTCCGGTGATTGCGGCGTATGTGCTTGACTCCGATGGGTTGCTGATGGCGCCGTTCACGAGTCTGGCTAATCATACGTTGAATTATTTGACGACGGAGCTTCTGAGTCATGATGGGATGCAGGAGCCGGGTTCACACAGGATGAAGTTGTAGTGAGTAGGAATGGGTGGTGTGGTGCGGGTTGCAGGTGTGTTTGGTGGGAGTAATTACAGATAACGAGTTTACTGTCCCTGTTTTTTTATACTTGTTGTGTTATATTATGCAAACGTTGATGATTCACATGTTTATGGGTGTTATCGTGAAATTGCTGGTTTACAATGGTATGAACTGGTACCTAAGTAAACAACACCTCAGACGGTATTTAATTCATAATGTTTTCGCGCTTATCAGTAGTAGTGAAAAATTATAATTTACAGTGCTATTTGAAGGAGGATTCACGTAGCTTCAAAAATAAAATGTTTGGTAATTTTTTTTTATAGCGTGTCGATCTTCTAAGATCCGTTAATCTAAAAAAAAAAAACAATTAAAAAAAGAGATACTTGAATAGAGCTTTAGGACACACAGATAATTAAATAAATAGCTTGATAAAGAAAATAACAAGGATGTTGAACCATAAATTATTAATATAATATTGAAATTTCGTAAATTTTGCCGCCTCCTGGTGATGATTGATGACTGATAGATTTGCCACTCATCTCAAGGAAGCGGCAAATTCATGTTAAAAATGCAGGGACGGAGATTTATGATCACCGGGTATCAAATTTTCGTCTTAAATGTAATTTTTCGATGCCTTTACGAGTCCATTTGATGAATGGTTAATTTCCAATTTGCATTTTTGCCTATCTGATGTTTAGGTATATTTTGGAATGTCGTGTGGACATAACTTGGACTTCTAGATTTTTGGAAAAAAAAAAAACAAAATAAAATTTGACTTAGAAAGTATCAACGCACTATTTTGAAGTGTTGCAGTTGATAAATTGGAACTTATTTTTTTTTTGTTTGTTAATCATCCCAAAATTTTATACATTCTTTTTATTTGCTTAATTTCTGTCTAAAACGCGGTAAAGATTGTGGGTCTACATTTTTGTGGTGACATCACAACCGGCTTTTTTTTTCACCTTTTTTTTTGTTGTCTTTTTTTTGACCTTTACAATTTTTTTTGACGCCTTTTTTTTATTGTTTTTTGTTGCCATTTTTTTATCACATTTTATTTGTAATTTATTTGCCCTTTTTTTGTCACTTTGGTCCCCTTTTATTTAGTTGCATTTTCTTGTCGCCTTTTTTCGTATTTTTTGCCGTCTTTTTTGGCCTTTTGTACGTTTTTTTTGCACTCTGTGGCCTCCTTTTTTTAATATTTTTTTTTGCAATTTTTTCAGGGGCGAGAGAATTTCTGACTTTAGACTTTTTTTGACACATTTTTGTCTTTTTTCGTCGCTTTTTAACTTTCTTAGTCAAATTTTCTTTACCTCTTTTTTGTCGCCTTTTTTTTATTTTTTATCGCCTTCTTTGTCACTTTTTGGTGTATTTTTTGCAATTTTTTTTGCTTTTTGACTCGTTTTTGTTGCCCTTTTTTTGTCGCGTTCTCGAATCTCCTTTTTATTTATTTTTGTCTTTTGCTCTGTCATTTTTTAGCTTTTTCTTACATTTTTATGTCATTTTTTGGCTCCATTTACTTTTCGTCACCTTTTAGTCATATTTTTTTGCCCCCATTTTTTTCACTTTTTGCTTTTTTTACCACATTTTTTGTGGCCTTTTTTAGTAACTTTTTTGTCGTTTTTTACTTCTTTTCTTCTTTCTTTTTAACCTTTTTTTTGTTGTTTTTTGTCACTTTTTGATTCCCCTTTTTCGGTCACATCTTGTTCGTCTTTTCGTCGTCTTTCTTGTAGTCCTTTTTAATTTTTTGTCATTATTTTGGGCTTTTTTGTTGTTCTTTTTGTGACTTTTTTTTTCGTCATCTTTTTTTTTAATATTTTGGCCCTTTTTGTTTTTTTTTTATCGGCCTTTTTGTGTCATTTTTTGGCGCCTTTTTGTGTCGCTTTTTAGCTCCGTTTTTGGCGTCTTTTTGACCATTTTTTTCCTTTTTTTCTGGACATATTTTTAGTCCCTTTTTTTGTTTTTTTTTTTATAATTTCTTGGCGCCTTTTTGTGTCACTTTTTGTTTTCCTCATATTTTTGGTTTCTTTTGACTTCTTTTGTCTTTTTGCGCTTTTTAGATGCTTTGTCACTTTTTGGCCCCTTTTTTTTCAGTCGCATTTTCTTGTAGCCTTTTTTTGTTATTTTTTAGTTGTCGTCTTTTTTTGCTTTTTTTTTTTTGTTTTTGTCGGTTTTATTTATCCTTCTTTTTTATGGCCCTTTACTGGTTTTTTTTGGCGCCCTTTTTTTGTAATTTTTTGGCTCCTTTTTTTCAGTCGCATTTTCTTGTCGCCTTTTTCGGTTTCTTGTCTTTTTTGCGGTTTTTGTTGTTTTTTTAACGGCTTTTTTTGTTACGCTTTGTTGTCTTTTTTTGCTTTTTTTGTGTTTTTTTTTGTTGATTTTTGACTCCTTTTTGTCACACTTTTTTGTTTTTTATCTTTATTGACCCTTTTTTGTCGCGTTCTGTAATCTACTTTTTATTTCTTTAGCCCTTTTTTACTCATTTGCTGTTGCCATTTTTTAGCTTCATTGTTACATATTTATGACATTTTTGTCATTTTTTGACTCCCTTTACTTTTCGTTGCATTTTTTTGTCGCCTTTTTTCGTTATATTTTTATTTGCCGCCTTTTTTTATTTTTGCCTTTTTTAGTTGCATTTTCTTGTTGTCTTTTTTCTTGCTCTTTTGTCGTTTTTTACTTTTCTTCTTTCTTTGTGTTTTTAATCGCTTTTTTGTTGTTTTTGTCACTTTTTGGCCCCTTTTTTTCAGTTGCATTTTCTTGTAACTTTTTTTTGTTTTTTTACCTGTCGTCTTTTTTGCTTTTTTTGTTTTTGTCGGTTTTATTTATTCTTCTTTTTATCGCCCTTTTTTGTTTTTTTTTTGCCGCCCTTTTTTGTCATTTTTTGGCTTCCTTTTTTCAGTCGCATCTTATTGTCGCCTTTTTCGGTTTTTGTTGTTTTTTAACGCTTTTTTTTTGTTACTTTTTGTAGTATTTTTTGTTGGTTTTTGACTCCTTTTTGTCGCACTTTTTTGTTTTTTTTTCTTTATTGCTCCTTTTTTTGTCGCGTTCTCTAATCTCCTCTTTATTTTTTTAGCCCTTTTTTAGTCTTGCTCTTGCCATTTTTTAGCTTTTTTGTTACATATTTATGACATTTTTGTCATTTTTTGACTCCCTTTACTTGTTGCTTTTTTTCGTCGCCTTTTTGTCGTTATATTTTTTATTTGCCGCCTTTTCGTGTTTTTGCCTTTTTTTGCCACATTTTTGTGGCTTTTTTTAGTTGGATTTTCTTGTTGTCTTTTTTGTTGCTCTTTTGTTGTTTTTTACTTTTTTTCTTTCTTTGTATTTTTAATTGCTTTTTTGTTGTTTTTTGTCACTTTTTGATTCCCCTTTTTTTTTCTTTGTCGCCTTTTTCGTTTTTTTTTTCTTTTTTGGGGTTTTTGTTGTTTTTTAACGCCTTTTTTTGTTTGTTGTATTTTTTGTTTTTTTTGTGTTTTTTTTGTTGATTTTTGACTCCTTTTGTCGCACTTTTTTGTTTTTTTCTTTGTCCCTTTTTTTGTCGCGTTCTCTAATCTGCTTTTTATTTTTTTAGCCCTTTTTACTCTTTTGCTGTTGCCACTTTTTAGCTTTTTTGTTACATATTCATGACATTTTTGTCATTTTTTGACTTCGTTTACTTTTCGTTGCATTTTTTTGTCGCCTTTTTTTCGATATATTTTTTATTTGTCGCCTTTTTTTATTTTTGCCTTTTTTGCCACATTTTTGTGCATTTTCTTGTTGTCTTTTTTGTTGCTCTTTTGTCGTTTTTTACTTTCCTTCTTTCTTTGTGTATTTAATCCCTTTTTTGTTGTTTTTTGTCACTTTTTGATTCCCTTTTTCAATCACATTTTTTCATCTTTCCGTCGTCTTTTTAATTTTTTCTCTTTATTTTGATCTTTTTTTTTTGTCGCTTTTTGGCTCCTTTTTTCTAAAGTCGTTATCTATTTTTTTGTATTTTTTGGCCCTTTTTTTATCGCCCTTTTCTGTCATTTTTTGGCGCTTTTTTGTGTCGCTTTTTGTTGGCATGTTTTTTGTTGTTTTTTTGTCTTTTTTTTACGCTTTTTTAGGTGTTTTTTGTCACTTTTTGGTTTCTTTTTTCAGTCGCATTTTTTTTACCCCTTTTTTCACTTTTTGCCTTTATTGCCACATTTTTATGACCTCTTTTAGTTGCATTTTCTTGTTGCCTTTCTTTGTTCCTTTTTTTATCCTTTTTTTTTACTTTTTTCTTTCTTTGTGCTTTTTAATCGCTATTTTTGTTTTTTAATGTCCTCATCTTTTTTGCTTTTTTTTCTGTTTCTTTTTGTCGGTTGAGTCTCCTTTTTTGATCACACTTTTTTGTCGTTTTTAGGCGCCTTTTTCTGTCGCTTTTTATTCCCTTTTTTGGCGCCTCTTTGTCCATTTTCTTTGTTTGTTTTGCCTTTTTTTTTACCACATTTTAAATGACCTTTTTTAGTCGCTTTTTCTTGTTGTCTTTGGTTTTCTGTCTTTTTTGCCTTTTTTGTTGTTTTTTAGTTGTCGTCTTTTTGCTTTTTTTGGTTTTGTCAGTTTTATTTATTCTTCTTTTTTATCGCTTTTTTCTGTTTTTTTTTTGCGCTCTTTTTTTTTATTTTGGCCTTTTTTGCCACATTTTTGTGGCATTTTTTAGTTGCATTGTCTTGTTGTCTTTTTTGTTGCTCTTTTGTCGTTTTTTACTTTTCTTCTTTCTTTGTGTTTTTAGTCGCTTTTTTGTTGTTTTTTGTCACTTTTTGATTCCCCTTTTTCAATCACATTTTTTCGTCTTTCCGTCGTCTTTTTTGTAGTCTTTTTAATTTTTTGTCTTTATTTTGATCTTTTTTTGCCGCTTTTTGGCTCCTTTTTTCTAAGTCGCCTTTTTTTTTTGTTTTTTTTGGCCCTTTTTTTATCGCCCTTTTCTCTCTCATTTTTTAGCGCCTTTTTATGTCGCTTTTTGTTATCATGTTTTTTTGTTGTTTTTTGTCGCTTTTGATTTTTTTTGTCTTTTTTACGCTTTTTTAGATACCTTTTTTTTTTGTTTTTTTTTGGTCACTTTTTAGCTTCTTTTTTTTTAGTCTCATTTTTTGCCCCCTTTTTTGCCACATTCTTGTGACCTCTTTTAGTTGCATTTTCTTGTTGCCTTTTTTGTTCCTTTTTTATCCTTTTTTTTTACTTTTTTCTTTCTTTGTTTTTTAATCGCTATTTTTGTTTTTTAATGTTCTCATCTTTTTTGCCTTTTTTGGTCTTTTTTTTGTTTCTTTTTGTCGGTTGAGTCTCCTTTTTTGGCGCCTCTTTGCCCATTTTCTTTATTTGTTTTGCCTTTTTTTACCACATTCTTAATGGCCTTTTTTTAGTCGCTTTTTCTTGGTGTCTTTGGTTTTCTGTCTTTTTTGCGTTTTTGTTGTTTTTTACTTGTCGTCTTTTTGTTTTTTTTTGTTTTTGGCGGTTTTGTTTACTCTCCTTTTTATCGCCCTTTTCTATGTTTTTTGGCGCCCTTTTTTATCATTTTTGGCTCTTTTTCAGTCGCTTTTTTGTTTTTTTTGTCTTTTGTTTTTTAATTGTCGTTTTTTTGTCTTTGTTTTGTTTACTTTTATGTTTTATCACAGTTTTCTTTCTTTTTTGGCAGCCTTTTTTATCATTTTTTGGGGAACTTTTTCATTTTTTGACTCCTTTTCTTTGTCATTTTATTTTAGTTTCGTTTTTTGTTGCGTTTCTTGTGGCCTTTTTTGCTACCTTTTGGCTACTTTTATTTAGTCGAATTTTCTTATCTATGGCTTTTTCATCCACATTTTTACTTTTGTCTCTTTTATGCGCATTTTCTTGTTGTCTTTTTTTGTTGCCAATTATTGTTGCCTTTCATTGTCACATTTTTTGTATTTTTTTCTAAGGTCTTTTTTTTTGTTATTGTCTTATATTTCTTTACGTTCTTTCGTCACATTTTGGATGACTTTTTTTGTCCGTTTTTGAGTCCCCTTTTTGTCTTTTTTTTTTTAGTTTTTTAGTCGTATTTTCTTGTCATCTTTTTGTCTTTTCTTCGCTACCCTTTTTTGTAGCTATTTTGACTGTTTTTCTTTACTAGAATTTTGTTTAATCCCTTTTTAGTAGAATTTTTTTCGTCACCAATTTTTTTATTTTCTTTTTTTTTGGCACAATCTTAATAGTCCTTTTTGGCGCCTTTTTATCGTGTGATTTGTTTTTTTTTGTACTTTTTTAAATAATTTCAATATTTACTTATTTAGTGATTTTGTAACTTACATTGTAAGCTTAATCATGTATATGTTAGCCCCACTTTGTACGTCGGGGACCATACATACGGCCTCTACGCCCTACCATCACTAGTGGACCAAAACGTCGTGACCATAACCGCCTCCGACAGCGGCCCCCTGCTCCTAGGAGGCCCCCACGCCCCAGAGCTGCCCAAACCATACCCCGAATACCCCATACCGGGCTACAACTACCGCATACCATCAAGTAAGCCCTATCATTGTAACCAAAGTAACTACCACTAGTAAAAATGTTGTATGCACCCAATGACCTAACCAAACTTTTCAAGACATGTACGAAGAAGACCCCCTCACATTCCAAAGCATCCCCAACTTCATCATCTACGTCGGCCACTACAACGTCCCCAAATACAGCGACACGAAATTCCTCCTACCCGGCAGCTCCTCCAAACACCTCCACCTCATCACCGACGCCAGCGACCCCAAAGAGGCCCCCATCCACGACCAGAACCCCATAGACCCCCAAACCGACGACTCCATCAAAGAAAAACCCCAAGTGCGACCCCGAACCGAGAACCGCCTCACCAGCACCCTCACCTTCACCTACAAAACAGTCAAACTGTGGGTGAACCAACAAGAAAACAAAGGCTTGAAGCTGGTACTTATCATCCTCGTGGGGTGCGTTATTGCCATGTTCTGGTACTTGCAAGTGCAAGTACGCGAATTCCAGAACATGTCGCAGAACGGGTCGAGGTCGAGCCAACCGGGCTCGCTGGGCAGGAACTCGTCCATCACCGCCTACTCGGAAGAGTTACCAGATGGGTTGGTACGGGTCGGGAAAATCACGTTCCACCCGGAGCAGCTACTAGGGAAAGGGTGCGAAGGTACTTTTGTGTACCGCGGCGAGTTTGATAGTCGACAGGTGGCGGTGAAGAGGTTGCTACCTGAGTGTTTTACGTTCGCGGACCGAGAGGTGGCGCTGCTGCGCGAGAGCGACGCGCATCCTAATGTCATTAGGTACTACTGTATGGAGCAGGACCGACTTTTCCGGTACATAGCTTTGGAGTTGTGTCAGGCGACTCTGTCGGAGTACGTACAGGGGAAGTGCGACCGGAAGTTGATTCAACCCTTGGATATTTTGAGGCAGGCGACGTCGGGATTGGAGCATTTGCACTCACTTGATATTGGTAAAGACGGAAGGGTGATTAGGCGATTAGACGTTTTAATTGGTTAATTGGGGTGTTGTAGTTCATCGCGATATTAAGCCGCACAACGTTCTGCTGTCCATGCCCAATAATCATGGCGTCGTCAGAGCGATGATTTCCGATTTTGGGCTTTGTAAGAAGTTGCAAGTGGGGAGGATGTCGTTTTCGAGGCGCTCGGGGGTGACAGGGACGGACGGGTGGATCGCGCCTGAAATGCTCAACGGGGATGAGAGGACGGTATGATCAAAAAGTGTGTTAGTGTTGCCAACATAATTTTTGATCCATTGCAGACTTGTGCTGTCGACTTGTTCTCTCTAGGTTGTCTTTTCTACTACGTTCTTTCCAAGGGGTTGCACCCATTCGGGGACAATCTCCGCCGCCAAGCCAACATCCTGGGCGGGGACTACAATTTAGAAGACATCCAAGGAGAGGAGCGCCAAATCATCCTGCAAAAACTACTCATAGGTGCCATGATCTCGTCCAAGCCCCTCGAGCGGCCATCTTGCACCGCCATCTTGAAACACCCCATGTTCTGGGACAACTCAAAAATTCTGGCTTTCTTCCAGGTACTTGACCCCCTTTTGACTACCTCTTTCTCACAGTCTTTATTAGGATGTCAGCGACAGGGTCGAGAAAGCCGAAAGCGATGACTCGGTGCTCCAGTGTTTAGAGGAAACGAATTACACCATAGTACGATCTGATTGGAGGGCGCACATCCACGAAGAAGTGGCAACCGATTTGAGGAAATACCGGTCCTATAGGGGGGAGTCAGTCAGAGACCTTTTGAGAGCTCTAAGAAATAAAGTAATAGGTTTTGAGGTTATGTCCGTGTTGTAAAACCCCTGTTCCAGAAACACCACTTCCGGGAACTAACAACCGAAGCGCAAAACCTCCTCGGAGACATCCCTGATTCGTTCACCAAGTACTGGACGACACGTTTTCCTCTGCTATTGGTGCACTCGTGGATAGCCATGCAGTGCGTGGCCAAAGAGACCGCGTTCCAGCACTACTATCACGAAAGCTACAGATTTTCGTACCAGAAGTTCGTCCAACAAATCGGGGCGTACATCGTCGATAAGCCCCGACAGTTTTATTTTGAATCCCCGGTGCTCAAAAACGGCGACTACTACGGGAACAAGTCCCCCAAGAAGACACAAAAGGGCAGATTTTACGACCCTAGGAAACGCAACGACGATGTGAGGGAAAACGTTGGGTTATATAGAAATCTGGCGCCTGAGAAGGTCGTCGACGTTAGTGAGGTTAAGGTTACGGTTACTAACAGTGGGTATGCAGGAGTGGGTAAAAGTAACGTGAATGTTAAGCTTCGGAGTAGGAATAACAAGAGGGCGTCGAAGAGGGACGAGCCCTTGGTCTGGGCCATAAATGATGATAAATAAGTACAATTAATTTGTGGTTTTTAATTTTGTTTTGGGGGAAAACGCGGCAGACGGGCAAGGTTTTACGGGTTTGGGCATTTTATGAAGGAGACTGCGACGGAAATGGGTTAGTTTTACACTCGTGTGAGTTAATTGGAATTTATTTTTTCAAGTTTGAGGTTACGTTAACCGGATTGCGTTCCATTGACATGGAAAAAGTAGAGTGTGTTTTCACAGACGTATTAAATAAAAACAACATTTATGTTTATGTAGTCGTGTTTCTTGTAATGATACAATTTCTGGATACGCATGTGCAATTTAGTCCTCTGGGCATTTTCTCAAAGCCTTGCCCACTCGCTCCGGCCTTAATTTTTTACAAATTCGATAAGTCACTGTGATAATGTAAATTTTAGCACTTCGTTTTAAGGACCAATTCTATTGCGTCCGCCCTGGCGGACAGTGAATGTATTGTTATTACTGATGCCAAATATATTTTCTATATATTTGAATGTACGTTTTTGTACCTAATCGTGCTAAGCGTGGGCGTAACAAGTATCATGCTGCTGACGCCCTTGGACTCGGCCGGCTTGATGACGTTGATCACGCTCGTCCCGGAATAATCAATCAATGGTTTATTTCCTGAAGCCTCCAAAGTATCCATGCTCGACGGTTGGAAGCGGAGCTCCAGTTTCCTCTGTTCCTCCTTCTTTTTCCGCATTACGCAGATCTCCATGTTCTTCCTCACGGCCCGAATTTTCTGAGACCTTTCCTCACATTCCTTTTGTAATCTGTCGATGCGATTTCGCAAGCCGTCGATCTCCGCAGACGCTTTCCCCATGTCGTGGCGGAGTTTGGGGTAGGCGAGAAGCCCGTGGTGGCATTTGAGCCTCTTGGTGTTGTTCCGGTGCACGTAGCGCTCGCGCTTCAAGTAGGAGAGCTGCTCTCGGGCCTGAAAGAACTACCACTAGTCAACAACCAACTAAACAAGGTCCTTACATCAAAATATTCCTGATTCAGCGTCTCAAAAATCTCGCGGTATTTCGCGATATCCACGTCCGTTTGCTCCAACTTCTCTCGGTTGTGCGCCAAAATCTGCATCGTGTTTTTGGTTCCATCCCTGAACTTCAGTATCTCGGCTTCTTTCTCCTCGAGCCGGTCCTGCAGCACCTTGTTGTCTTGTTTGAGCTCCACGAAGTCCATGATGTGGTACCCAGCCCCTAGATTGTCCAACTCGTCTAGCGCCTTCATTTTCGCCTGCACACCGTTCCTCAGTTTGATGAACAGGAGCCGAACCTGGATCAAGACGTCCATCTGACTCCTCTGGCTCCTGGTCCACCTCTCCACAACCTGTTTTTCAACACTATTAAGACCGTTGAAAATCACAGGATTGTTACCTTGTCGAAATTCGCTTTGCCCATCTGCTCCAAATTCAACCCTGACACGTAGTCCATCTCCTCTTGTATCATCTTGTCCATGAGAGCTTCAAGGCGTGCTTTTTGTTGGTTGCATTTGACCTTCATGTGCTGCACTTCTTCCTCCAGCATGGTTTTTTCGCGGTAGCTGTTCTCGCTCACGACTTCAAACCTGTCGAGTTCTTTGTTGTATCTGTCTCTGGTTTCCTCGAAGAAGACGGCTGGCTCGCGAAAAATGTAGTACATCTGAGGCAATCAGAAATTGTGAGTCTAAATTGACACGTGGGCTATGAAATAAACTAGTCATACACCAGCCACTGCTCTAGAAACCTGTAGGGAGTGACAGTTACATCAAGTGGTCGGAAGGGTGGAGTTTTGGCAACTTTGACGGAAATGAGGAGGTGTATGCTACAGGTATCATATGATTGAGGAAAAAAGTGGCTGGCAAGGTTTGAAATTTAACGTTAAAAAAATCATGTTGGTAGCACTAACGCGTTCATGATCAATTAAGTGTCAAATAAGGTGTCAAATGGCCAACATCATTATTTTAAAAATAAATGTCATGACGTACTATATCACGTTTTGTCATATAGTAGATCTGAATGTTAAAGAAGAGAGAAAGCACAAATAAAATGATAAGGTTTTGTAAAGACGCCGATGGACACAGAACGTAATAAAAATTCAGCGTTTTTGCGAAATTTCGTTACAGTGTTGACTTGTTGAAGCCAGAACGGGCTATTACCCGTAAGACATTTCTAAACACCCAGTATATTTGCAAGTGTATACAAATTGAGAAACTAATTAAATAATGATCCTTCACAGATTTTGTCAAACGTGCACCTTATGACCCGAACCGTGTCTCTTCTGTTGATGAAATTCTCTCAAATTTTTCAAGTAGTTTAAACAAATTAAAACAATCAGACGATTTAATAGAGGCAGAACTCGCCGCTATGGAAGCAGGCAACAGCAGCCTTGACGAAGACAATTTAAATGACAAAACGTCTGTTGATAGCGTTGTCAAAGAAGCCGATGACAGTTCTAATCACACAGTTGAAAAATACGTCGAAAGCAGTGGAGCACCATCTTTAAAATCTGTCAGTGACCTTCCCTTTTCGTCTTCTAAGTCTCGCAGTCCCCAAAAGAATCCGCCAGAATATTCCCACAAAGTCTGAGCGACTTTGGGGGAGAATTTACCTTCAGAAAGAAAATTTTTGGTAACCCTTTTTCTGGGAATCGCTCGGTTGAAAACGGCAAATATTTTTCCACCATCGAAGAGTACGAAGTGCCCAAGAAACGAAGGAAACTAAAGTCGACCTTTATAACAGATAGACCAAGTTTGGCTTTACGTAAAAGTATAGGTAGAAGTAACAACGAAAAAGCTGCGATGGAGTGTGGTGACGTAGGTAAATGTGATGACGTAGATAAGTCAAAGACGAGTTTTTTACCCCGGATTTTGCAAGAAAGCAATAAGAATGTTAAAGTAAGAGAAAACAAAAAACCATCCACGTGTAAACTACCTGCGATGGAAATAAAACAAAATAACAAGATTAACAGCGGTGTTTTCCAATCCAAGTGGAGAGGAAAGGAGGACAGATTTATACATGTAAAGAAAGATTTAAGTGATGTTTTCCTGACCTACCAAAGGCGAAACTTGTTGGTCGTAGAACAAAATATAACTAAAATTTAGCTTGACAATTTAAAAAAAAAAAACGCCATCTAGTATCCGCGGACAGTCTTATTTCACCAAATTTGACAATAAAGTCCCTAGATTAGCAGAATCTAGTGATCTTAACTGACAGTAAAGTCCCTAGATTACTAAAGTAACGCGAATAGGCGCCATTTTGGCTCAAATAAACAACCGCCAACTTTGAAAATGAGGACAATAATTGCTGGTATAATCAGTTATGACTACGAGAAATTACGAGTGTCTAACAATATAAATGTATTCTACGTGTTTTGGTTGCCTAAACTTTTATCTTAAAATAAAGTCAAGATTTCAAATTTTAATCAATCTATTTATATACTAACTAAAAACAAAATTAAAAATTAATTGACCATGTCAACAAGGTTTCGCATTGCAAGACTACGACTACTTTTATTGCTTTTATTTTTTGTCTCCAGAGACTTATTTTTTAAAGAAAAATGAAGCCTACACTTCAAAAAAAAACGTTGTCATCTTGTGTATAATATTGTGACATGTAGGGATGCGTAATTTGAGATTTTTCAAACAGATGCTACCTAGATGTTCTAAATCCAACTTATTATAAATTAAGTTGGCCTCATTCTCTCTAAAGATCAACTCGCAGCTATAAATGTATTTATAAAATTCAAGCGAAAGAAAAAGTAAAATGTTTTCTTTGAATTCCTTCCAGAACTATTCTTGCACGATTTGATGCCACACCCAGCCATTTTAATTGATTTTTGTATCGCAAACACTTTGACACACTTGTTCACAACGTCAGAATCAATTGTCAAACGGCCATTTTGGCTCAATTTGTGTCTGTCTTTGTCTAACACACGGGCCTAATGAATCGCGTTACTTTAGTAATCTAGGGACTTTAAACTGACAGTTGCACCGAGCGACATCTCCCCATACATTACCGCACTAACTTGTTAATCTCTATCTCAGCGCCCCCCGTCACCCTCAAACTAAACCATTCCCACATACATACACTTTTTGCAGTACCACCACCAGACAGACGGAAACGGGAAACCCATTTCTTTGTACTCTAAGGGTCATGAAAGATCGAGCAAATGTAATTTTCCATTTTAAACATGTTTTAAGTGTCATGTTGTGAAAAGAAGTCTACACATATTCAAACCACAAGGCAAAACATAAGCCCACCCACCCACCCTATCTCAATTGTGATGATTTTTTTCATTCGCCGTGAACCAAGGGGACTCAGCTTAACTGCAAAATACTTATTACTTTACAAAAAATTAAAAATATGTTTTTGAGCATCGTGTTGTTCAAAGAATACCATGTACATTAAGAAATAAAGACAAAATATAAACTCCGCCCATCCGCCCCATCTCAATTGTAATGATTTTTGTTTATTCTTAGAAACGTAAAACACGTTCAAACTGGCAAATTTTTGTTAAGAAAATCTGGATTTTCCAATTAGGCTCCGCCTCTAGGTCGACCAACGAATGAAAACTTCAGTGCTATTTAGATCAGGGCAGGTATGGGTGGGGCTTAATCTTTGGTTTTAATTTTTCCTTAATATACATACATAGTATCTTTTGAATGACACGATACTAAAAAAATGTCTTACATGGCAATTTTTTATAAAGAGAGAAATAATAAAAATTTGAATTTAAAATCCGCTCTTTTGGCTTCACGATTATAAAAAAAATTACCACAGTTGAGACAGGGTGGGTGGGCGGGGCTTATATTTTGTTGAAAAAAAAATTTAATTGCTGCCAAAAAAAAATGCAAGGAGCCTAACTGCAAAATCGATATTTCCGTATATAAATTTATCATTTTTAACATGTTTTAAGTTTGAAAAGAAATGTACACATATTAAAACAAGAGAATTAAATATAAGCCCGCCCACCCGCCCTGTTTCAATTGTAATGATTTTTTTTTTATTCGTCATGAACCAAGGAGGCGAAGCTGCACAATAATTATTTCTTTACAGGAAATTAAAAACATGTTTTTGAACATCGTGTTGTTCAAAAAATACAATGTATGTTAATAAGAGAATGGCAAAATATAGACCCCGCCCACCCACCTTATCTCAATTATGATGATTTTTTTATTTTTAAAACTTAAAACAAGTTGAAAATGGTAAAAGAGATTTTCAGATTCATCATAAAATGGGGCTATTCTGAGTGTGTTCCGAGTCTAGCGCTTTTTTACCCATTTGTTTCGGTGGTTTCATGTGAAAGAAGCTTTTTATAATTAAAAGTGATAAAATCGTGCTTAAGGTCCACAATGAGCTAAGCGCGACTAAACAATATTTCCATTTTATCAATTGAAAAAGAGAGGAAAGTATTAATTGTGACGACGTCATAGAATATTTTGCCAAAATAACAATGCTAAAATAATGGAAAACAAAAAGCGTGCACGTATAAACTACCTGTGTTAGAAATAAAGCAAAATAAGAAAATTAACAGCAGTGTTTTCCAATCCAAGTGGACAGGAAAGGAGGACAGATTTATACCTGTGAAGAAAGATTCAAGTGATGCTTTCCTGACCTACCAAAGGTGAAACTTGTTGGTCGTAGAACAAAATATCGCTAAAATTTAGCTTTAAAAAAACCGCCATCTAGTATCCGCGGACAGTCTTATTCCACCAAATTTGACAATAAAGTCCCTAGATTACCAGAATCTAGTGATTTTAACTGACAGTTGCACCGAGCGACATCTCCCCATCCATTACCGCACTAACTTGTTAATCTCTATCTCAGCGCCCCCCGTTACCCTCAAACTAAACCATTCCCACATACATACACTTTTTGCAGTACCACCACCAGACAGACGGAAACGGGAAACCCATTTCTTTGTACTCTAAGGGTCATGAAAGGTCGAACAAATGTAATTTTCCATTTTAAACATATTTTAAGTTTCATGTTGTGAAAAGAAGTCTACACATATTCAAACCAAAAGACAAAATATAAGCCCACCCACCCACCCTATCTCAATTGTGATGATTTCTTTCATTCGCCGTGAACCAAGGGGACTCAGCTTAACTGAAAGATGCTTATTCCGACCAACGAATGAAAACTTCATTGCTATTGAGATCAGGGCAGGTATGGGTGGGGCTTAATCTTTGGCTTTAATTTTTTCTTAATATACATAGTGTCCCTTGAATGACACGATATTAAAAAAATGTCTTACGTGGTAATTTTTTATAGAGAGAGAAATAATAAAAATTTTGAATTTAAATTCCGCTCTTTTGGCTGCTCACGATTATAAAAACATCATCACAATTGAGACAGGGTGGGTGGGCGGGGCTTATACTTTTTTTCAAAAACAGACACCAAGGCGTCCAAATTTTTTTTTAATTCTTGAAAATAGGCTCCAAGAGATCCAAGATTTTCTTAAATTTTGTGAAAAATAACACAGCGGGGACGCCCAAGATCATTTTAATTTCTTAAAAAAAACACGCAAACAACACCAAAATTCTTCAATTTTTTTCCAAAAAGGAAATAATTATGTTTCGCGTTTTTTTCTTAATATACGAATTTTTCAAATTCGATTTCTCGATTTTTCGACATCTAGATTTTTCGATTTTTTGATTT